TAATCCAGGAGTGCTGTAAAATGAGGCAGAGTAACAGTACCATAAATCCCCTCCAAGAACAAGACGAGGCTACGTTTTGAAGGGTCAAGTAGAACTAATGTTTAATGACAGAGGGTCTCCTTTTATGCAATGGTGCCCTCTGAAAGGCTACACCCACATAATTATTACCACAGCCAATTACATACATGGTTCAACCCACACGTCTCCTCCCCTCAGATAACATGTAACACAATTAAAACAGACACAATTTTAACTACATTCTGGATGTACCCCAAAAACAGGGGGTACACCTTTAAGTCACCGCTTAATAGCTCTCACTCTGGGGAACAACATATCCAAATTTCAAGTCATTCGGTTGAGGGGTTCGGGAGTTATGGGTCTCCGTTCGTGCATAAAAACCCCACGAACCCCTTGCCATCCACAGTAATCCTGATGTTCGCCTGAATCCCCATTCATGCTTAAACAAAACTACCGAATGGCCGGTCGTTCGGTAGTTTCAGCACGAACTTACGAGCTCCTGGAGGTCTCAGCGGTGTTCGCCTGTTTGCGTATCCGTTTTTAGTTCCATGCGTTCACAGGCAAACACCGCCGTTCGTGCGTAAGATGGCCGCGAACACGTGTAAAGTCTCGAAATGGCGGCCACCTAACCTGAGTACAAAGGGATTTGTCTGAACCATGCGAACGGCTCCACAATCACTGGGAGGTAAAATAGCAATTAACTGTTCCCCTGGGTGGTCCGATGTTCGGTATTTTGGGTTGTATGTTATAGTAGCAATAGTCACACGAACACCAGCCATTCGGTTCTGTTTAACCCCTCCAGCAGCATTGTTGATTAAGTTCAGGCAAAAATACAGGCATAATCATAGTTCTGTTACAGAGACCACTTGTCTCCACTCCAAGAAACACACTTAGTTGTTGGGGAGGAGGGACAAAACTCAACGCTCCCAGTGGTGTACAGTCCTTAAGCCCCATCATGTTAGAGACAGGCGGCGTTACACGTTGGAATAGGCAAACATAATCCTGTTTTAGTTCCCACTCCCGGTTGGCAAGAAAAGATAGATCTGGCTGAATGGCATCGATCTCAGTAAGGTCCCAGTTGTCTGCCCGCTCAGCTCAGATGGACCAGAAGCAAGCAATGTCGATGTCTCCGAACCAGAGACTAGTTTCAATAGTATCCCACAACAAACCAGGGCCATCGTAGTCTTCCCCCTCAATACACTTGTACTCTATCAGCCATGGGTAGAGGTGGTAAGCATGCCACCGCAGGGCCCGATAGGAATCATCCAGCCACACCTCAGTCTCAACTAGTGTCTCCAGTTCGCTTACCCACTCCTCTGAGGACTGATTTCCCAATAACGGCATCTGCAGCTCTAGTTGTTCTGCTTGGTGCTGGTTAGTGGTCAGGATTTCCTCGCACCAGAAGGGTCGAATTTCATCGATGTCTTCCTTCCAGAGATTGGTTCGAAGCGCTACCCTCCACTCTGTCTCTTTCCTCTGGGATAGGATACTCCATACTGCACATCACATCCTGAAGTCGCTGCTGGAGCCTAGCGTCAAAGATAGATACTGCACAGCCTTAAATCTCTGAAGTAGTGCTGGTCTTCTCAAGGCTAGGAAGCCATCCCACCGCTTGCCACTAATGTAACGGATCACTGCTAGACCCCCAACACGGAGCCTTGTCTCGTTCTTGAGGGGGGGCGGATATATCATATGCTGTTACAGTTCGACTGCTAGGAGTGTAAACATTTTCTATGGTTTTTCCTGTTCAGCTTTCGTATGGTTTTCTATTCGGGAGATTGGTGTCTTCAGTAGCTGCCTGTGTATCTGGAAGGGAATATCTCCTAAACGGCTTTTAACCACTTTTATGCCTGGGGGTGCCGTTACAGCAGCTAACAAATCACACACAGAAGAGAAAATTGCTCAGTCAGTAAAAAAAGGGGACAAAACATTTTTTAGATACATAAATGAGAAAAGGAAAGTAAAACAAGGATTACTTAGATTAAAAACAAAAGAAGGAAGGTATGTAGAAGAGGATAAAGGTCTAGCTGACTGCCTCAATTAATATTTTTTTTCCCAGTATTTACAGATAAAAATGAAGGAAAGGGGCCTCAGTTAGGAAAAAGGACAAATGAGTCTTTGTTACATGTGAGTTTACAGAGGAAGAGGTTCTATTTCAACTGTCAAAAGTAAAGACAAATAAGTCAATGGGACCTGATGGAATATACCCAAAGCTATTAAAAGAGCTTAGTGGTGTACTAGCAAAACCATTAACAGATTTATTTAACCAATCATTGTTAACAGGAGTAGTCCCAGAAGATTGGAAGTTAGCGAATGTTGTGCCCATTTACAAGATAGGTAATAGGGAGGAGTCGGGCAACTATAGGCCAGTAAGCCTTACTTCAGTAGTGGGGAAAGTGATGGAAACCATGTTAAAGGATAGGATTGTTGAACATCTAAAAACACATGGATTTCAAGATCAGAGACAACATGGGTTTACTTCAGGGAGATCATGCCAAACTAATCTTATTGATTTTTTTATTTTAATTGGGTAACTAAAATTATACATCAGGGTGGTGCAGTAGACATTGCTCACCTATATTTCAGTAAGGCTTTTGACACTGTTACACATAGAAGGCTTATCAATAAATTGCAATCTTTAAGTTTGGATTCAAATATTGTTGAATGGGTAAGGCAGTGGCTGAGTGACAGGCAACAGAGGGTTGTAGTCAATGGAGTATATTTGAAGCATGTGCTTGTCACCAGTGGGGTACTTCAGGGATCTGTACTTGGACCCATTCTTTTTTATTTTTTTATTAGTGATATTGCAGAAGGTCTTGATGGTAAGGTATGTCTTTTTGCTGATGATACTAAGATATGTAACAGGGTTGATGTTCCAGGAGGGATAAGCCAAATGGCAAATGATTTAGGTAAACTAGAAAAATGGTCAGAATTGTGGCAACTGACATTTAATGTGGATAAGTGCAAGATAATGCATCTTGGACGTAAAAACCCAAGGGCAGAGTACAGAATATTTGATAGAGTCCTAACCTCAACATCTGAGGAAAGGGATTTAGAGGTGATTATTTCTGATGACTTAAAGGTAAACATACAATGTAATAGAGCAGCAGGAAATGCTAGCAAAATGCTTGGTTGTATAGGGAGAGGTATTAGCAGTAGAAAGAGGGAAGTGCTCATGCCATTATACAGAACACTGGTGAGACCTCACTTGGAGTATTGTACGCAGTACTGGAGACCTTACCTCCAAAAGGATATTCATACTTTAGAGAGAGTTCAGAGAAGGGCTACTAAACTGGTTCATGGATTGCAGGATAAAACTTACCAGGAAAGGTTAAAGGAACTTAACATGTATAGCTTGGAGGAAAGACGAGACAGAGGGGTATTGGATGCATGGAATATCCTTCCAGCTGAAGTGGTAGAAGTTAACACAGTAAAGAAGTTTAGGCATGCGTGGGATAGGCATAAGGCTATCCTAAGTATAAGACTAATAAAAGTATTTGGAAAATTGGGCAAACTAGATGGGCCGAATGGTTCTTATCTGCCGTCACATTCTATGTTTCTATGCATGAAGGGAAAGTGCTGAACCGTGGGCACCCAGGGAAAGCTACTAGTGGCGGCTGGGCAGGGTAACTCCAAAATGGTGTCCCAAACCTGCACCTTAGTTGGTGGGCAGGAGGCCAGCTTCCACACTCCTCTAGGAGTCCGTGGCAAACGTACGTAGGAAGGAGTGTTTGTCACAAGTTGCCTTAACCTTTTTCATGAGATGCATAATCCAGTTCAGGCAAGGCACAGTTAGGGCACACACTGCAAACAAAAAGGGGACACAGAAACATTGTTTCATTTCTCCTCTTCTGAGTATTCTCTCTCAAGGCTGACTGCTAGGCGTAGAGGGGCAGAGCTTATTCCAGTGAGTGATAGGGAGCTAAGATGGAGGCGCCCAGTTACAGGATTAAGAGCTGTGGACTTCTGTCAAGTTTGCTACATCCTCCAGAGCCCCTTCAGTGCACAAGAAGATACCTCTTCCCATGGCCATCGGTAATGAAGGATGGGGGAAATGACAAAACTTGAATGAGACCGCCCATAGAAACATAGAATGTGATGGCAGATAAGAACCATTTGGACCATCTAGTCTGCCCAATTTTCTAAATACTTTCTGTAACGGATCACCTGGCACCCCGACTGGGTACCTCCGTTGAAGGATGCTCCTAGCGCTTCCTGAGGACTCCAAGCACTGCAGCAGACACCACAACCACCGAACCAGAGAAGCATACGAATGCTCTCAAGCATATGAATGCTGTAAGCAGCTGAACAGGAAAAGCATACAATCAGCTTACACCCCTGGCAATCAGCATACAATCCAATTCCCCCAATAACGAGACGACACTTCGTTTTGAGGTCAAGCAGAACTGACTGTACTGGCACATACAGCCTCTTTTATTCCCAATCCACAAACTTAGTACTGCCCACAGGGTTTTACAGAACAACCAATAACACACGTACATTACAGAAAACACTCCCAGCAATTATACACAAAATCCTCCCCTCTGCCTGGATATAATTATGGTACACAATGGGTTAACATAATTATCACAAGCAGGAAAAATACAGTTTTTATATATGTACTATAACTTTAAAAATATACATCCAATCTTCATAAAAATTGCATATTAATCAGCACATTTTAAATATAAACATACTCAACAATCATTCGAATCCATTCGAGAGATCGATATAAGTCAAGTATTTCCCATGTTAAAGTCAGTTCAAACAGACGAACGACAACCATTCGAATTGTCGAACTGTCGCATGAACTGTCGAATGAACTGTCGAATGGCATTCGAACTGTCGAATGCATTGAAGTCTGGAGAAGGTAAAACTTCAGGGTGGCGTGACCTGGACGCTGAACAAGATGGACGCTTAATCACAGTGCTCCGCTCCACCAAGCCCTCGTTAAGCACTCCACAATAAGCCACAGCCGACAAATGGGACGCAACCGACGCTCCGACTATCCCCAAACCCCGAGGGGTGTCCAGCCGAAACCCCAACAAGGACCGATGGACGGGTTTGTGCACTCCCAGAGGGGCCCGGATAGAGAGGCCGAAACGACCGGATCCGCGCCGCCATCTCTGGCCTCGACGGCCGACACTGAACCATCGGCCTTGGACCGCATTGGAGAAGAACTGCGCATAATAGCGACCTCCATGGCCACTAAAAGCGACTTGCTATCGCACACAACTGCCATACAAGATGCCCTCCGGGTGGAAATAGCTGGAAACCGGACAGAAGTTGGCGCCCAGGCAGGCTGCATCCAATCCCTGGAAACAGCTCTTGAAACACAGGCAGCTAGGATATCCACGGCGGATACAGCGATCTCCAGACAAGGAGAACTATTACTCACCATGAGACGAACCATCGAAGATCTGGACAACAGGGGCCGTCGCTGTAATATTAGAGTACGTGGGGTCCCTGAGACAGATGGAGGTGAAAACGTAGAGGAGCACCTCTCAGGCCTATTCAGGAACATATTGCAGCAGGAGGCACCGCCGCGCTTCAAATTTGATAGAGCGCATAGAGCTCTGCAACCTCGCACACCAGAAGAAGGCCCAAGAGACTTAATCTGCTGCCTCCACTCCTATCAACTTAAGGAGGCCATAATGCATAAAGCAAGGGAAAAACCCACGTGGCCCTACATGGGCACCCAGGTTGCTCTATATAACGACTTATCCCCTATGACGCTGGATGCACGGAGGGCGCTCCGACCGGTGACCTCCATCTTGCGGGAACGCGACATCACGTATAGATGGGGATTCCCGTTTGCCCTCCTTGCACGCTCTGGGGATGGATGGATCTCCGCTCGCCACCCCGATGAAGTCCCGCACCTTCTAGAGGGGCTGGGCCTGCCGCCCACACCAGTCCCTAACTGGATACTCGACCCGCTGGGCCCGAGACCCTGACCCCAGAGGGTGCCCCGGCAGCGCAGAGGAGGAATCCCACCGGGGCCCCCACTGAGACGGCGCCCAGACCAGGGAGACCATGCGGAGTGAGTACACCCACCGCCCCACTGACCCCAGCCATCCTGACTGTTGCCATGCCGGCCCCGGGTCCTGAGCGCCCCTCTTGGGGGGACAGCCCTACTCCCTCCTGGCCCAGTGGGCCTCCATCACCCACACTGCAACCGGATGGGAGGGATACTACGGGACACTTTGGGAAGGGGGATATGGGAGATAACTCAGCGCCATGAGTACCCCACTTCAAGCCTCTGTCACGTATCTGGGAGGATGGTGAGAATGGGACTCCCGGAATGAGGTAAGCCACACCACTAACCCCTTAGACTCGGGGGCACTTTGGCACAGATATAAGGAAGAAGGGAACTAAACACAAAGGGGACCCTGACAACAGGGAGCAACTACATGCCCTGGCAGATTACAGCTACCCGGTGGCCCTACTGGCACAGATTGCATCACCTGGCCCCACACACCCAGGGGACTGTGGGGCTAGCTCCCTTCTGCCAATTGCAGTGACAACTACGTCATACAGTAACTGTGGGACCTTTTTGGACTTCAGTACAAAAATAATTTAAGCCATAATGTTTTATCAGGATGATGCTCCTTATGGGAAGGAGACTGACAGACACGACTGGAATATATAACTCCTTCAAACACGTAGCTGGGAGATAGCGGGTCACGGGATTACCACGCAATCGGGGTAGGGGGGAGAGGAGGAGAATCACACACACACACTACCACCATCATCACCACCCTTAACACACACACACCTTAACGCCACCACCACAGCCACCACGACTCTACAAATAACTAGAACTGTGGGGAACTCCAAATGCAGAAGGAGGATCACCCAGCCTTCCAAGACGGACAGGACCCTTAGTTGGGGAAAGGGCAGGTAGGGACATCACAACGACAATACCCCAATATCAGACACAACTCACACCACACGCGCCCCAACTAACACACAGCTGGATGGGACCTCCCCATACCAGACACACCGAATAGCCTTGCCACTCAAGAGGGAGTACATGCACACTTCACCACCCTGAGCCCACCCACGGGCACACATAACTCCTAGCTGGATCACAAACGTACTGGATAAGGGAGGTGCACCGAGCATAGCAGTGGGGGGCATACTCTATGCAACCCACGTGGAAGGGAAACATACCACACAAATTAAGAAGGGGGGCATTGGACTCGGGACCGGCAGCTGAACGGGATGGGGGGTGGTATGAGGGGGGGACAAGGGGGGAATTGATTTGTTGTCATTATGTTGGGGCCTGTTTTGTCGAGCTCTCTAATTGTTTCTATGTTTCGTATGGAATGCTTCTCTGTATGCACGTTACAAGCACCGCAGGGCGAAATGGAGACTGACCACACCCTACTGACACACCTAGACGAAATACACTTGGACGGTACTTAGGCCATGTACCTCTACCCACACTCGTGCGCTATCTCGAACGGTGGGACTCGGGGGGGGTGGGGGGGGCTGCATCCCAGTCTGGATACTGGAGCAGACCCACAGAGTGCCACACCATAGCACGGGTTTCCTCTTTTAGAGGATAGGACACGACTGAGAGGTTTATCCCCACACCAGTTGTGACGCCCTTACTACAGGGCACTAACCTTAGCTCTTTCTTTGTCTTCTTGCTACTTTGCTTCCCTACCTCTCCCAGTTCCCTTTGACATTCCCATCCCCATCCCTTTCCCCCCCCACACACACGCACCCGTCCCCAGATCTCCTCTGGGTCAACTTGTCGTACTGAGCTCCCGCCATTGTGCCGCTGGGCCCGGGCCCTCGCTGGACTCCCCTAGGATAGCGGGGTATGAGAGACCTGGGGGGATACCAGCGAAACAACCGCGGAGATTAGCTGCGGACCTGATACAACCATGGCATACCAACCTGATCCTATATCCGTTCTCACCCTCAACTGTAGAGGCCTAAATATCCCGGAACGCAGAGCCCACCTACTACGCGATCTGGGGAGGAAACACATCACAATAGCACTGCTCCAGGAAACACACTTCCGAACAGGAGCAAAGCTGAAACTACAGAATAAATCCTACCCGAAGAACTATTTCTGCAACCACCCGACACATCGCAAAACCGGTGTGGCCATCCTCTTAGCTTCAAAACTAGAATTCCAAGAGATTGACGTAATGCGTGACCCTCAGGGTCGATATCTGTTTCTGAAGGGATATATACTGAGCAAAACATATACAATCGCCTCCATATACGTACCCAATAGAAGACCGGCACAATTTCTCACGAGCACCCTGATGAAACTACAAAACTTCGCAGCAGGGACCCTCATCTTAGGAGGCGACTTCAACGTGCCCCTAGATCCTATTCTGGATTCGTCGACAGGCCATAGCAGCATAACATACGGTCAATTCGAAGAATGTCGGGTGACCTGGATCTGGTAGAATGCTGGAGGACCCTCAATCTGAACACAAAAGACTACACATGCTACTCTGCACTACACAATCGTTACTCCCGTATCGATTATATATTCACAAGACAAATTGGTCTCCCACGATTGCGCTCAGCCAATATAGAGCCGGCCACATGGTCGGATCACGGAGCGGTTCACATCACACTGGAATCTCCACTTTTTAGACCTGCCAGATGGACATAGATAGAAATATCTTGAAATTTAGATAACGCCAGACCTGAAGGACTTATACCTCCACAACTATATCCCACTCCTCAAAACACTAACAACAGACCTGGTAAAGTGGTCATACCCACAAATCTCCTGGCAGGGATGCATAGCTGTCCTCAAAATGAACATCCTACCACGACTCCTCTACCCCTTACAGACGCTTCCGATCGCCATACCACCTTCATTTTTTACCAAACTGAAGTCAGCAGTCCTGCAATATGTCTGGAGAGGGGAGCGCTCAAGACTCAAACACGACACATTATGCTTACCCAGACACTACGGAGGGTTAGCTCTACCCGACTTCAAAAAATATAACCAAGCCACAGTACTGCAACGTATACTAGACTGGCATACAAACCCTAAGCAAAAACAATGGATAGCCCTGAATGCCGAAGGGAATAAGGCAGCCTTACACTCTACTGTATGGGATACAATGAGGCACACCTTAGCGCGCGACGAGATGAAACAGGACCGGTGGCCCAGATGTTACACAGTTGGAGACCACTTAGAGAGCAAAAACACATATCACTGACTCCAAGCCCTCTACTTCCAATTACTTATAACCGCAAAATAGGGGGGGGAATCCCCACACGAACATCGCCATTCTTGGAGGACCACGGACATATCCCTATACATACAGCTCTTCAGAATGGGGGGTTACAGCCATTGGATTCGCTACTGAGCGGCAGACCTCGCACTATACAGATGATACTCCGATATTTACAACTGAAACATTTTTATGACACACTCAGCAATAGAGAGCGCTTACACCGAGATCTCTGCATCCGAAGTGCCAATTTAAAGCTGCAGAACTGCTCCAATACAATTTAAAGGGGCAGCAAGTCTTTTAAAATCCAATCTGCTAAAATAGTCTTTAACAGGCAATATCTTCCAAGGGCCATAGTCTTAAAGGGGCATTGTTCCCAAAAGTCACAGTATGTCCCCAGATGGTTCTTAAAGGGCCAGCAGCAGCATGATAAAATACAATATGCCCAAATACTGTATTAAAAGGGCCAAATCTCCTAGGGGCCATAGTCAGCAGGCAGGAGGCGGGCAAACAGGCTTCTCCAATGCCCAGTGGCGAGGTTGGTTTCGCCACACTTTCATTAGTCCCTAGCCTTATCTTATAGTTAGGATAGCCTTATGCCTATCCCACACATGCTTAAACTCCTTTACTGTGTTAACCTCTACCACTTCAGCTGGAAGGCTATTCCATGCATCCACTACCCTCTCAGTAAAGTAATACTTCCTGATATTATTTTTAAACCTTTGTCCCTCTAATTTAAGACTATGTCCTCTGGTTGTGGTAGTTTTTCTTCTTTTAATATAGTCTCCTCCTTTACTGTGGTGATTCCCTTTATGTATTTAAATGTTTCTATCATATCCCCCCTTTCTCGTCTTTCCTCCAAGCTATACATGTTAAGATCCTTTAACCTTTCCTGGTAAGTTTTATCCTGCAATCCATGAACCAGTTTAGTAGCCTTTCTCTGAACTCTCTCTAAAGTACCAATATCCTTCTGCAGATATGGTCTCCAGTACTGCGTAGTGCCCAGAGTCTGTTGTTTTTATTGCTCGGCCTACTAGGGGATGTTGTTATTTCTAATGCACTAAATTCTTCCGTTTTAGGGTTTATTTCTATTTAGGGTTTATTTCTATTTCTATTTCTACTTCTCTTTTTATCTAAGGGAGAACATGGGCTGCAGGGTCATCCTGGAAAACCTGGTCAGAGGGGATTCCCTGGTTCTCAAGGTGATCAAGGACATATTGGGGAAATCGGACTGAAAGGACTTCCAGTAAGTATCTGATTACACCAGTATTGGTCACAATCTGATGTCCCTGTGTGATTAGAGATAAGTGACACTCACACAGATCGTATTACAGGGAGAAGATGGCGATCAAGGTCTAATGGGTTTCTCAGGTTTCCCGGGGCCAAAGGTAAGTTTCTAAGAACCATCGATAGTAGTTGGTTTAACTAACAGAAATGATCCAATAGTCATTTATTTTAGTCTCTCTCACCCTCTCATTGCATGACTGTGTCTCTCCATCTCTTATTGCATGCCTATCTCTCTCACTCTCTCATTCCGTGCCTGTCTCCCTCTTTTTTGTACCTGTCTCTCGCATTATGTGTCTTCCTCTTTCATTCTCGCATTATGTGTCTGTCTCTCACACTACTCTAACTAAACAAATCATCCTTATCTGTTTCTGTCACCCTCTCAGCCTGTGCCCCTTGTCTGTCTTTCATCTCCTATTCCATGTCTATTGCACTCCTATTCCGTGTCTTTCTCACACTCCTATTCCATGTCTCTCTTTCACTCATATTTCAGGTCTCTCTCTCACTCCTATTTTGTGTCTCTCTCACTCCTATTCCGTGTTTCTCTCTCACTCTTATTCCATGTCTCTCACTCCTATTCTTTCTCTCTCACTCCTATTCTGCGTCTCTCTCACTCCTATTCTGCGTCTCTCTCACTCCTATTCTGTGTCTCTCACTCGTACTCTGTCTCTCTCACTCATATTCTGTCTCTCTCACTCATATTCTGTCTCTCTCACATTCCTACTCCGTGTCTCTCTCGCATTCCTATTCCTTTTCTCTCACTACTATTCTGTGTCTCTCTCACTCCTATTCCGTTTCTCTCTCACACACCTATTCCTTGTCTCTCTCTCATGCCTATTCTGTGTCTCTCTCTCATGCCTATTCCGTGTCTCTTTCACATTACTATTGCGTGTTTCTCACTCTTCTTCTGTTTCTCACTCTCGTTCCTTGTCTCCTACTCTTATGCCGTGTCTCTCAATCTTATTCCGTGCCTCTCACTCATATTCCGTGCCTCTCACTCATATTCCGTGTCTCTCTTGCACTCCTATTCCGTGTCTCTCCCACACTCTTATTCCGTGTCTCTCTCTCACTTCTATTTTGTGTCTCTCTCACTCCTATTCTGTGTCGCTCTCACCCTTGTTCTGTGTCTCTTACTCTTATGCCGTGTCTCTCACTCTTAATCCGTGCCTCTCATATTACATGTCTCTCTTGCCATTTCTATTCCATGTCTCTCACACTCCTATTCCATGTCTTTCTCATACTCCTATTCCATGTCTTTCTCATACTCCTATTTCGTGTCTCTCTCACACTCCTATTCTGTGTCTCTCTCACACTCCTATTCTGTCTCTCTCACACTCCTATTCTGTCTCTCTCTCACTCCTAATCCGTGTCTCTCTCACACTCCTATTCCGTATCTCTCTCACACTCCTATTTTGTGTCTCTCTCACTCCTATTCTGTGTCGCTCTCACTCTTGTTCTGTGTCTCTTACTCTTGTTCTGTGTCTCTTACTCTTATGCCATGTCTCTGACTCTTATCCCATGCCTCTCACTCATATTACGTGTCTCTCTCGCACTCCTATTCTGTGTCTCTCACACTCCTATTCCGTGTCTCTCTCACACTTATATTGTGTGTCTTTCTCACACCCCTATTCCGTGTTTCTCTCACACCCCTATTCCGTGTTTCTCTCACACCCCTATTCCGTGTTTATCTCGCACTCCTATTCTGTGTCTCTCTCACACTCCTATTCTGTCTCTCTCTCTCTCACTCCTATTCCCTGTTTCTCTCACACTCCTATTCAGTGTCTTTCTCACATTCCTGTTCCATGTCTCTCTCACACTCCTATTCCATGTCTCTCTTTCAATCATATTTCATGTCTCTCTCACTCCTATTTTGTGTCTCTCTCACTCCTATTCCGTACTTCTCTCTCACTCCTATTCTGTGTCTCTCTCACACTCTTATTCTGTGTCTGTCTCACACTCTTATTCTCTCTCTCTCACTCGTATTCTGTCTCTCTCACACTCCTACTCCTTGTCTCTCTCACATTCCTATTCCGTGTCTCTGTCACACTCCTATTCCGTGTCTCTCTCACACTCTTATTCCGTGTCTCTCTCACACTCTTATTCCGTGTCTGTCTCACACTTATTCCACGTCTTTTTCACACACCTATTCCATGTCTCTCTCTCACTCCTATCCTGTGTCTCTCTCACACTTGTTCTGTGTCTCTTACTCTTATGCTGTGTCTCTCACTCTTATTCCGTGTCTCTCTCTCACACCTATTCTGTGTTTCTCTCACACTCCTATTCTGTGTCTTTCTCTCTCACTCCTATTCTGTCTCTCTCTTACTCTTGTTCCGTGTCTCGTACTCTTGTTCCGTGCCTCTCACTCCTATTTTTCTCACACTCATATTCCATGTCTCTCGTTCTCTAATTCTGTGCCTCTCACTCTTATTCCTGTCCCTCACTCTTATCTGTATCTCTCTCACTCCTATTCTGTGTCACTCTAACTATTATTCTTTTTCTTCTTACTTTATATTTCCTTTATTTTTGTTCTTTTTCTAATAATTTACTATGTGAATTTTTAGGGACCTAATGGTGACGTGGGTGCCGTGGGCATTCATGGCCCAAAAGGACCATCCGGGCAGTTTGTAAGTGAAGTTTCTTTTATTTATTTCATTCAAATCTACATTATGGTCCGGCATCAGCAATCAATCAATAGACTTTTTGTCTGTATCAGTCATCATAGCAATACCAACCCACATTTCCATATCTATTCTTCTTTATAAAAATTTTATTGATTTAAAAAAAAATTCTGCCTATGTCAAGCTCAATAGACTGCAGAAAGAACGTGGCACTGGTTGCTGATTACAACACAGGTTGATGATACATATAGGTGACAGGTGTTTCAGAGGGAGAATGCAATCTATATTTCTATCACAATTACTTGGCCAGTGGGTGGCTGACTGCCGAATGCTCTGCTCTCCAGGCGTTCAGCAATTCTGAAACAGACTACTTTGGCGCTGCCTCTTCTTATGATACAATGCATATTATTATTATTACTGGTATTTATACAGCGCCATCTTATTCCGTAGCTCTTTACAATATTATCAAAGGGGGAGATTTATCAATAAATGAGACAATTACAAAAACTTACAGGAACAATAGGTTGAAGAGAGCCCTGCTCAAACGAGCTTACAGTCTATAGGAGGTGGGGCGTAAAACACAACAGGGCAGGAGATAGCGATCAAACAAGGTGGAGTGAAGCAGAGCTGGAGGAGAGAATAGAGTGCTGCCCTTTAGGAGAGAGAAAAGGACAGGTATGTGAGGTAGATGTTACTCTGGCCATAAGCTTTCCTAAAGAGATGGGTTTTGAGGCACTTTTTAAATGATTGAAGACTAGCGGAGAGCTTGATGGTCGTAGGCAGGCTATTCCATAAGAAGGGAGCCAGTGGAGAGACCGAGAAGGGGCATACCTGCGGATCAGTGAAGAGATATAGGAGAAGCTAGAAATGGTTAGTGCTTTATAGGTGTGGATTAGTACCTTGTATTGACTCCTATAGGATACTGGAAGCCAATGTAAGGACTGACAGAGGGGAGAGGTGTGAGAGGAGCGACAGGAGAGGAAAATCAGTCTGGCGGCGGCATTCATTACAGACTGTAGCTGTGCAATACGACTTGTGGGAAGACCAATTAGGAGAGAGTTACAATAATCCATGCGAGCGATTACTAGAGCATGGACAGGCTCCTTAGTAGTATCTTACATAAGAAAGGGGCGGATGCGGGCTATGTTTTTTTAGGTGGACCAATGTCATTATGCGAATGAAGCAGATGTGCATCTTTTCCACCACCCCCTTATGGTTGTAACGCTAAGCGCTCACTCGATTAATAAGGTGCTCACACACTATTAAAAGTGTTTATGCTTTAGTCAGTGCCCTGTTGTGGGTCCTTATTGTCCCTATAGTGCATCTTGTATTCTCAGTGTTTATATTAGTTTTGATTTGGCTTGTGTTCTGACTACTCTGATATCCTTGACCTGGCTATTGTCTCTTGATCTCCTGTCCTCTGGTTCCCTGGATTGCTGGCTATTTCCCGACTATTTTATCTTGGCTATGTTAAGCCTATTCATGCCAACGTCCAGTACTATGTTCTATTTGAGTGTGGGTGACACTTTGAGTCGGGGTTTATACTGTGACATTTTCCCAGCGTTGCGTTTTTTTGTGGACCAAAAAAACACTTAACATTCCCAAGGCACAGCTTGTTTTATTCATTGACAAATGTTATTTTTGCAGCTCTTACCTTAGCCTCGATTTAAGATTGTTGGATAGCTTTTCAAATGATCAATATCTGTTAGAAAACAATTTCAAATGATTTATCAACAGAAGTCACCATTAAAGTATGCGGGATGTTTTGTAGATAAATCATTTTGATTGTGATCATTTGAAAAGCTTATAAAACATACTAACTTGAAGTCAAAGTCGTGATTTAATTTGTTGGATACGTTTTTTTAAAATGATTTATATTTATTTTTGGATAAACTGTTTAAATGATTTAGTATTATAAAAATATTTTAACTTTGTATTATTTAGATTTTTTTGTATTATATGTATACATTTGTATGTTGTTGGTTGTTTTTTTTTTCCATTTGTTCATTTGTAAGTTGTACGTTTATATATATATATATATATATACACACACATTTGTATATATAATGTTTTAAAAATGTTTTAACAAGTTAAAAAAGTAATCTACTATGGTCCTCTGTGCACTTAATCAATTCATCTTAATGAAGTGGTTTTGGTCAAAAGAGCTTGCCCATTTTCTTGGGCCATGGTAACAAAGCACATCTCTCGTGACTACTGACTGAGGCCACTAGTAGCATTTCCTGAATGAAGACCTTTGATTTTTGAAGTTCTCCACTTTGACATCATCACACACATCATGATGATGCCGATCATGTCCAGTGCTTCTGAAGAAGCACTGGATTCAGTCCTTGTCTGTGAGAAGCATCGATTAGGACCAAAGACATTAGAACTGAAAACTCAATCATAGGCAGAGCGGCTGCAACAAGGAGACTGTCCCAAGGCTGGATTACAGGTATGTTGTTGTTTTTTTTTTTTTATTACTTTTATTTTTTTTTAATTTTATTTAAACAAGGGAGTCCGTAAAATAAACTAAGAAGGAAACAGTCTAATGTTAAAAATTAGTATGTTTATTTTTAATGTCGGAGAGTTCCTTTAAGGATGACATTTAACCTATTACAACCCTAAAGACAAAGCAATTGTGGCACAGTTTGAAGTGGTTTGTGGATCCAGAATCCCTCTCCCCACCTCTTTCATCCAAACTGACCATTTCAATTCCTATGCAAGAGAAATTACATAACTTATTTTCCAGGCAGCGATTACAGTGGTTTATACATCTTATATATTATCAAAGTGTTCCATTAACCATTTTTTTTTTTTTTTACTTCCTGTCCTCCCCACATATTTTTGCCCCTCAACCACAATTATTACTATAGGAGTACACATGTGTTGAGTAGTGGAGGCTCATCTGAAGGGGAACTTGTGGTAGCGCCTCACCAGGTTTTGTGTGGGGAAAAGAATATTTGCAGTAGTTTAGAAATACTAAGATTCTTTTTCTGGAAGCCAAAAGAAATATGGGAACAATGTGTGTCTATTTAATTCTGTAATATATGTTTCAGTTTTGCAAGGCCTCTCCCCCCCCTCACCTCCACCCCCAATTGGTAGCTGTTTGGAGAAGCTTACGTGAGAACATCTAGGTAGTTTTAGTTTTTTAAAAATGGGGCTGGTGTTCCTATGTTTATTCGTTAAACCTGCCCTGTTTTAGTAGGTTTTGCACATGCCTAGTGTGCTTTAAGAAAGAAATTCAGGAATTTACATTGAGCATGTCAGCAAAAGAAACACCTGGATAAATATTTTAATACTAAATCTATTCAGACATCAAGAGATGAATACAAGTTACGTTATACCTCTACCATTACTAGAGGTGCTCAGAGTGGTTGCCATTAATGTCCAGACACTTAGAAGAACTGCTGTGTTGCTCAGGCAAAGTTTCCTAACGTTTCCAGTGGAATTGCTGCACATGCTTACATTTTTTCAGTCAGTGTAGCTGGTTTTCTGCAATACATAACATCCTTTAGGGTTCCCCATAAGTAAAAGTCGAGACGTATTAAATCAGGAGAGAGTGTGAGGAACTCGACTGCACCTCTTCATCTTTCCAGTATCCCTGCAAATTTTCATCCAGGTAAGCTCGCACATCTCGGTGGTAGTGTGGTGTTGTGCCATCTTGTTGTAAGAAAAAAATCATCATTTCCATAAAGTGCATTAATGGTAGGTAAAATGGATGTGCATAGCATGTCTAGATATACTTGACCAGTAACAGTATCTACAAAGAAAAATGGTCCTATTAAACCCGTCAATGACAATGACAGAGATTGAGCCCCAGTAAATTGACCACATGACCGTATGGATTTCTGGTGCCCAGTAAACACAATTTTATCAATTCAATGTCCCAGTTAAATTTTGCTTTAACAGACCAACAATCTTACTCACAAACTCCTCATGCTCACGTACCACCATGTGTTGAACCCACTGACAATACTAGATTCTTCGATCAGGATCGTCCTTGTAACAGAACTATGCTTTTGCCCATGCTTTTTGCCTGGACTTAGATAACAATGCTGCTGGATGTATTACACAAAAACCGAATGGCTATTTTCGTGGAAATATTCCTACTGGAGAATACAGCTCAAAATACCGAACATCGGACCACCCAGGGGAACAGTTAATTGGTATTTTACCTCCCAGCACTTGTGGAGCCGTTCGCATGGTTCATACAAATTCCTTTGTGCTCAGGTTAGATGGCCGCCATTTCGGGACTTTACACTTGTTCGCGGCCATCTTACGCACGAACAGCGGTGTTTGCCTGTGAACGCATGGAACTAAAAACGGATACGCAAACAGGCGAACACCGCTGAGACCTCCAGGAGCTCGTAAGTTCGTGCTGGAACTACCGAACAACCGGCCGTTCGGTAGTTTTGTTTAAGCTCTCATAGGGATTCCAGCGAACACCAGGATGACTGTGGATGGCAAGGGGTTCGTGGGGTTTTAATGCACGACCGACCGCAAGGCCAAAACTTATGGAACTCTTTTCGGCTAGAAAACCTGTGCGGTCAGTCAAAACTTCAAAGATCCATAACTCCCGAACCCCTCAACCGAATGGGCTGAAATTTGGACATATTGTTCCCCTGAGTGAGAGCTATCAAGCAGTGCTGGACTTAAAGGTGTACCCCCTGTTTTTGGGGTACATCCAGAATGTGGTTAAAATTGTGTCTGTTTTAATTATGTTATATGTTATCTGAGGGGAGGAGACGTGGGGGTTGAACCATGTATCTAATTGGCTGTTGTGTTAATTATGTGGGTTTAGCCTTTCAGAGGGCACCATTGCATAAAAGGAGACCCCTGTCAATAAATATCAGTTCTACTTGACCCTTCAAAACGTAGCCTTGTCTCGTTCTTGGAGGGGATTTATGGTACCGTTACTCTGCCTCATTTTACAGCACTGCCGGATTATACACTTGGATATCGTGGATGGGAATAAGAACTCCATTACTTCACAGCAGCTTGCCTAGAAAAGGATGTCTCCAACGGCAGATACCCCTCTCCAGCTGGGTAGCCGTTACAGTCCTCATTCATGGCATGTAATAATCTTAAACTTTACGAATGTGCCGTATGCTTGTACTGCTAACTCCTGTCTCACATGCACATTGTGTGGTAGACTTCTGTAACGGACCGTTTTGCACACAAGGGGTAAAACCGTTTAGGCGAACGTCCCCTTTCAGAGATGCAGGCACAGCTATTGTAACACACCAAACTCACGAACCGCCAATAAGGGAATGCTCCAATCTCCCGAACTGCATACAACATAGCACTTCAAACTCACGAACTGGAACCATACGAATAGCTGCTAGCAGACGAATAGGAAAAGCATCCAAGCGGCTTACACTCCTAGCAATCAGTCTCTATCAGCATTCAGTAAATCCCCCAAAAGACGAGACAAGGCTCCGTGTTGAGGGTCAAGCAGTGGTCTGTTTAATGAGGGCTACCTGCCCAGTATTTATGCAGGTCTCCCACCTGGTGGACACTCCCCTAGGGGACCAAATGGGAGACTGTAACAAAGGACAGACAAGTAGACAAATAGGACACACAGTCACATTGTATTCCCACAATGCATCCTGGCTTCCTCCCCTCTGCCCTGGAGATAATTGAGAAGTAATTAAATTATCTCCCAGGACAAAGGCAAATCGCCATTATGCACGTGGGGATACTAAAACAAGAATTACTATTAAAATGCAATATGTGACACAAGTTACATTAAAACCATACATTTAACATGAATCCAAGTTAGCCAATTGTAATATAGGATATCAAAATATGACACCTATAAGTTTGAACCTTGGAATCAAAGTAAATTATTTCACAACACACTGCACCCCTCACACACATACACACTACTGTCCCTATCCCAGTAGATTCCAGGTAAGTTATCAAACTGTTTTTTAAATGGTTTGACTACTTACTCTGGGAGGCACCACAGCACTCCTACAGAGAGCTGTAGTGGTTATTGTGCCTCGATTGTTTCTTTAAATGATCTGCCAGTGCCCCAACCGAGATTAGGTTCTAGATCCGCCACTGGTACGAGGTCTACCAGATCTTCCATTGTGTACCTCACACACTGTACCATGGGTTACAAACTTATCTCAAATTCGTGAAATTGTCAGGTGTAACGACATAAACGACAACCATGCCTTGCCCATTTTGTCTGACTGTCCCCAGTTACATGTTGATGCTAGCGTCATGCTGGTAACAGCATCTTTTGAGATGGGGTCTCTGAGGACCTCTTCCAATGGCCCAAGCTGGAGCTTCGAGTCAGGCATCGATACCTCTGGCTGCAGTGGCGTACACATAATCCATGGGGCCCCGGTGCGAAAATTGATCCGTGGGCCCCCCTCCACCCCCCCCCCCCCCCGTGATTTTCACAGTGAGAGCACGCCAGCGTCCATAGGAAAGCATTATGAATGCTTTCCTATGTAACCGGCTGAATGCGCGCGCACGCATACAGCCGACGGGGAGGAGGATCGGAGGAGGAGAGCTCTCCGCCCAGCGCTGGAAAAAGGTAAGTTTTACCCCTTTTCCCCTTTCCAGAGCCGGGCGGGAGGGGGTCCCTGAGGGTGGGGGCACCCTCAGGGCACTATAGTGCCAGGAAAACGAGTATGTTTTCCTGGCACTATAGTGGTCCTTTAAAGGACCACTACAGACACCCAGATCACATCAGCTCAATTGAAGTTGTCTGGGTGTCAGGTCCCTCTAGTTTTAACCCTGCAGCTGAAAACATAGCAGTTTCAGAGAAACTGCTATGTTTCACTGAGGGTTAATCCAGCCTCTAGTGGCTGTCTCACTGACAGCCGCTAGAGGAGCACACTGAACGTCCATAGGAAAGCATTGAGTAATGCTTTCCTATGGGCGGTTTGAATGCGTGCGCGGTCGCATTCGGAGCTGAGAGGCTGAGGGATCCTCAGCGCCAAGGGAGTCCGGCGCTGGAGAAAGGTAAGTGCTGAAGACACACACACTCTCACTTACAGACGCATACACACTAGCTAACAGACACACACATTTACTGACAGAGACACACTCAGCGACAGACATACATACACACTCACTTACAAAACATACACTCTCATTGACAAACACACACTCACTAACAGACATCAAACAGACTCACTAACACACACTCAGTAAGACACACACAGTAACACTCACTAACACTCACTAGCAGACACACATTAACACTCACACTAACACTAACTAGCAGACACACACACTAACACTCACACTAACACTCACTAGCAGACACACACACACTAACACTCACTCTAACACTAACTAGCAAACACACACACTAACACTCACTAGCAAACACACACACTAACACTCACACTAACACTCACTAGCAGACACACACACTAACACTCACACTAGCAGACACACTAACACTCACACTCACACTAACTAGCAGACACACACACTAACACTCACACTAACACTCACACACACACTAACACTCACTCTCACACTAACACTAGTTTTTTTTTTTTTATGTAATCCCCCCAGCCTCCTTACCTTTTGGCGTGCTGGGGGGTTTCCCTGGGGTCCAGTGGTGCTGCTGGGCTCCTGGGTGGGCGGGCGGGTGGCCGGTCGGGCAGGCGGGCGCGCGAGGGAGCACTCAGTGCTTCCTCTTCAGCTCCCTCGCGCCGCGTAGGGATGCCGGAGCCGGAAGATGACGTCATCTTCCGGCTCCGGTATCAGTGCGGTGCGCGTGGGAGCTGAAGAGGAAGCACTGAGTGCTCCCTCGCGCGCCTGCCTTCCCGACCGGCCACCCGCCCGCTTGCCCGGTGACAGCAGGGCCAGCCTCGGGGGTCCTGGGGTGGTCGGCTACTGGGCCCCCCAGGGGAAGAGGCTGGCCCTGTGGCTACATACTGGGTCACAGGGGCGGCCGGGCCCCCTGGTGGGCCGGGCCCGGTCGCAGCCGCGACCCCTGCGACCCTGGTATGTACGCCACTGTCTGGCTGCCTAACAACCAAGGCTGCCTCCCTGCTTCAAACCCTGTCCATCTGAGTCATGTGAACGTGATGACATTGCAATCACATGACTCGGAATTGGCAGAATACATCCCTGCCTGCAGGGGGACTGCCTGGATTGTCAGGCAAATCTCCTAAAAAATAATGATATAACATAATTAAATATGCAATGAAGAGGGCGGGGCCTGACCGCAATGGAGAGCAGACGTGCTTTGGAGGAGCTCTTCTATGGCCCAGCAACTAAAAGCATGATTAAACATAAAATAGCTCAAGACTGGGCAAACCAAGCGAAGCCCCTTGCCTCCAACTCTCCGACTAAGCGAAGAAGCGGACAAAGACCTGTTGGGAAACATGTAGCTCCACCTTGGCTGTTGCGGCCTGGTGCACGCTGGGCGGGGGTTGCGGCCGAACCCCTGGACCGGAGAAGCCAGAAGGATGCCACAAGTCGGGGCCCCATTGCTCCCCCCTTTTGGACCGGGGGGCTGATCACGGTCCACCCCAGGAAGGTTACCCTGCTCACACAGAAGCGCGCTGGGCGACAGGGGAAAGCGGCATATCACCAAACATGGCGGATGCGGTGTGGCCTCCACGAACCAGTGCTGACCAAGACGACATTCTCACCAGGCTAGACTGGCACTTCACGAATTTTTGGCGGCAACTGGAACGGCGGATGAGATGTCCTGCCCCTCCACCAGCGAATACTCACCGCATACCACGAAATTCCCCTCCCAAGCCCTCAGCTCCACCAGCGGATAAAGTCTCTACATGGCAGCGCATCAAGTACCGTACTTCACCCAGATGCAAAGCGGCACCACGGAAGCCACACAGGGGAATACAAATAAGGTCACAGTCGCAGCCAGAGAAGTGGAAAGGGACCCCAAAAGCGACTAAAGAATCGACCTACCTGCACGCAATCAGGGGCCTTGCCATGCAGTGTGACTACTCAAAGTGGGACTGTGCTGTACCCCTGGCTGGCATAGGCTGACCGGGGCTCCGGGACTGAGCTGTGAGTAAGGCCTTTGGCCGCTCGCTATCACAACATGGCGGTGCTGGGGCTTATCATATGTATACACTGTCAGAAACCCCAGTATTATCTACCAGGCTTAACTACCACACGCACACCTAATGGGGGTTGCCTCCTGGGGGCATACACTAGAACACATCTTACTGTTTATACTGTTTAAACCCTTACCTTAGGCCTAACAAACTATTACTATCAAATGGGCAGACCACACACACCAATCCTCAGCCCATCCGCGATATACATTAACTCTTCCAAGACATACGACCAATAATTTAGTCAGTTCAATTTCATGCTGATCAAAAATGATACACACAGCTAATGAGGCCATTTACGCATAAATGTGTCTAAGACAGGATGTAACTTTTCATGCAACTACCATGTCTTATGCCTTGTTCAGTTAAACCATTACAGCTAAATGTTGAATGACCTACGGGCAGTAAATGTTGAACCCTGTTTGTGCATAGAAACAAAAAAATGTGCGACTATGCATGCCACTGTTAAACTCTTTCATATGTTGATATGTGCTGATACACGCTGTTGTGGCATTTGTGGAAACTTTGTACCTACCCGCACAACAAAAATAAAGAATTTAAAAAAAAAAATGCAATGAAAATTATATATATATATATGTGTGTGTGTGTGTGTGTGTGTGTGTGTGTAACCCAGACAGAAAGTCCTGATAATTTAGTTTGCAAGCCCTATATTTACCCTATAACGTTCCAAAATCCCATAAAACCTGTACATGGTGGGTTCTGAGACTTCACTAAACACAAATATTAGTGTTTTAAAACAGTGAAATGTATGATGACAATTGTTCACCAAGAACTTGATACAGAAGGTTGATACATAATTTTAGTGTGTGAAATTAACAACCAAAAATATACATTAGTTAATATTTATGCCCCAAACCAGGCACAAATTCCATTTATTAGAAAAATATTTAATAGAATTGACCGTGTTAAAACTGGTCGAGTCATTGTTATGGGAGACTTTCATTGCATTTTAGATGCAAATTTGGACAGGAGTCCTAAATTAAAAAGCAATAACTATAAGAAGGTAAAAACTAACGGGAACATTTTTTCTGAATTAGTCAAACAAAATGAACTGTTAGATTATTGAAGGATATTCCATGTAAAAGAGATTTTTCATGCTTCTCTAAAACTTTTTGCTCATACTCTCGAATCGATTTAATTTGGGGGGATAGAAATTTAGTGAAACAGGTTAAAAAAAATCTTTATAACAACCACAACGTGGTCTGATCATAACCCAATTATACTAGAATTAAAAGAACAGTTTGAGAGACCCAGAACAGAATGGAGAATGAAGGATTGGATAATGAGAAATGAAAATAACCTTAATTATATTAAAGAGGTGACAGATCTTTTTTTTCCTAGAGAATAGAAAGAATGAGGTCTACCCAGCAATGACCTGGTGCACATTTAAATCGGTTATAAGGGGCCACCTTATAAGCCAAACAGCCAAAGAATGTAAGCTCAGTGAGAAAAGGGCTAACCTGACAGAGCTATATATAAAACTGGATGACTTACTTTATCAAAATAAAAGAAACCCCTCACATAGTATTACCAATACAATAACAGAAGAAGAAAAATTTATAAATGACCAACTGGTGGCAAAAGCCAATAAGGCCTTAATAGGCATGAAACAAAAATGGTATTACATGGGAAACAGAAAGAAAAAGTTAAAAAGGTTATTACTAAAATTGTACACAATGGGGAAACCTTACTAAACCCAGAAAAAATAACAGAAGCCTTTAAAAATTATTATTACGATTTATACAACATGTCAAGTCAAATAAATAAATTAGACATCAGAGAGTTCTTAAAAACTATTAAAATGCTGAAAATCACAGATCTACAACTACAAGAATTGAATAAAGTATGCAAGGAGGATGAATTGATCTTCTGTATTAATAAACTTAAAAAAAAATACATCACCAGGACCTGACGGGTTTGATAACCTCTTCTATAAATTATTGAAAAACAATATAAAAACAGATTTGATCAAAGTTTTTAACTCCTTTGGAACAACCGAAAAGATCCCAGCAGAATTACTGCAAGCGAATATAGTCCCAATTCCTAAGCAAGAAAAAGACATAGAAAAAATTAAGAACTGCCGCCCAATTTCCCTTCTAAATACCGATATAAAGCTCCATTCGGCTATGATAGCAGAACGTTTGAAAAGGATTATACCAGACGTGATAGATAGGGACCAGGTGGGGTTTGTCCTCTCGATCAATCAATCTAAGGGGGGTTAGAATTCCCACTCATACAACAATACCATAAAGCGAGTATCCTTTTCCATAGTATCATCTCACAATTGGCTGGGGCTAAACTAGAAAGGTGGTATGCGGTGGAAAAGGAACTGGCAGATGGTAGGGATCTAGTAACACTTTTCTGGTTTACTCAAGAAGGAGAAACAAATAAGAGCCAACCAAGTTCTGATAGTGTGGTAATTGAGTCCATTAGAGGAATGTGGAGTAAGATAAAAAAAAAAGTGCAGGATTTAAAAATCACATTATCAATACCCTCCCGATCTCAATATTGGAAAATAATATGCAAGACCTAAGACTAAATAATTGGAGAAGAGCAGGCATACAAACCATAGAAGATATAACAACAGGACCCAGGGTTAATTAGTTTGAACAAATTTGTATTAATTCCGGTCTCCCAGAAACTGAGAAATTGAACTATATGAGGATTAAAAGCTATCTGAATAAAACTCTAAATAAAGAGAAATGGGAATTTAATAATAAATTAGGAAACTTATTGAAAGGAAAGGACATGAAAAGCTTATTAAACAAATGTAACTCGGTATTGAGACAACTAGAGGGTGACTTGACGTTTCTGGCAATTAAAAAATGGGAGAAAGATCTAAAAATACAAAAAATTGATGGACAGGACTGGAATAGAGCATGGCTGACAGCTGCTAGGCGCATTAAATGCCTAAATTTAGTGGAGCTACATTTTAAGATCATTAACAGACTCTATTTGGTTCCTAGCCGTCAAAACAAAAACAAAATAGACCAGAGTAAAACAGATATATTCTGGAGATGTGAAGGGGGAGTGGGAGATTGTCTACATATTTGGTGGAGCTGCACCCCACTTAAGGAATTTTGGAAAGTGTTCTTGTCTAAAATTGAAATGGTAACCGGATTTAACTTTCCCCTTGCCCCGGAAATGCTTATATTACATATAAATATTTATCAGTATAATGTAGATTTGCAACACTTTTTTACCCACGCATTAATAGCAGCAAAGATTTCCATAGCTAGAAGGTGGAGAATTAAAACTCTACCAAATTGGGACATAGTAAAAAACCTACTAACTTCGCAACTTAGGATGGAGGGAGCTTTGAATAGAAATTTGAAGAATTTTTTTTTTATTTCACATAAATAAGTGGTTAAAAAAATTGTCGGCAGTAGATTAATATACATAGAAGAGGAAGGGAAGAGAAAAGGGAAAAAGAAAAAAGGGGAAGGGGTGAAGAGAAAAGAAAAAGGAAAAAAAAAGAGAAAAAATGCTAGCTCATATATTTGTACTATGAATAGCAATGCAGAGAGACCAGGGAAGAGGGTTTCATCATCGTGTGTGAATGCTGTGTTTGTCTGCTTTGTTTTAGTTTTCTCTTTGTTAATGAGTAATATTAATGTTTTTTATAAATTAAAGTAATTTAAACAGGAAAAAGAGGGGAGAGAAAACATTGATGATGACTAATACACCAATGCCTGAGATACAGAGAGCTTGAAAGAATATGAGAGGCTGGTAACGTCTGAAAAGAAAAAAAAACAAACAAAAAATAAATAAATAAAGAATATTGCACCTTTTTACAATATTTTAATTTACTGAGATTTGGGGTTTTCATGAGCTGTAAGCCATAATCATCGCACTTATGACAAATCACGGCTTGAACTATCTTGCTTTGCATGTAATGTGTCTATCTCATATATTAGTTTCCCCTTTTACGTTGCATTACTGAAATAAATGAACTTTTGCACGAAATTATAATTTTTCAAGTATCACCTGTATGTCAGAAACATGTATTTTTATGTTATTATATCTTCATAAATAATTATATTCTTTCCCTTTCAGTTCACAGGTCCTATTTAAGACCTGTGCACTCTTAATGAGCTGACACCAGCCTGTCATGCTCCTGTGCCTTTGTAGGTCTTTTGGTCGGCCCCGTCTGGGGTGGGGGATGATTTGTAAAACCTGTAGTGTGAACTCTTCTAACGTCTCTCTCTCTCCCCCCCCCAAAACCCTGGTAGGGAGCAAGCTGGGATGGGGAGACGCCAGGGGCAAAGCCATGACATACCCATTTTTGTTTGGTTGCTTGTCTGGTGGTTTGCGTGCCTTTCTTTGTGTTGGGTATTTGTTTGTGTCTGATGGTGGCTGGGTTTCAGTTGTCTTGAGTTGTTGGTTCCGATAGAGCGGGTGGTCGGATCTGTCATTGGACTGAGTGGGTTGGTAGGTAGGGTGGTTCTAGATAGGTGTCGTTCCCAGTTGCAGTCCTAGGAAGTTTGTGTCCCAGAGGTCCCAGGTCCTGTGGAAGGCTTTGTAAGAGTCTTTATTTGTGCGGAGAGTTTGTTGAGGTCCTTTGTTTCCTTCAGTTTGCATATGATTGTGGTTAGTTTAGGGCTGCATTGATCCGCCCATAGTTCTGCTATCGCCCACCGCGTTGATAGTGTTATTCTGGCGGTGAGCTTGTTTTCGCTCCTGATAAGGGAGTCAGATGGTTTAATGAGCAGCATGGTCCATGGGTCTGCTGTGATGGTTTTTTCGATGATGGTTTCAATGAGTTGGTGTACTTCTGTCCATGGTGGTTTAAGCTTGGGGCAGTGCCACCAGCAATGGAGATATGAGCCAGTTTCCCCGCATTTTTTCCCCAGCATTGTCCGTTGGTTTCCCCATTTTATGGAGTCGGTATGGTGTCAGATACCAGCGATATAGTGTTTTGTAGGCCTGTTCCTTGTGGGTAACGCATACCATCAGTGTGCGTATCGCTTCCCAAATATCGGCCCAGTCATTCGGTTCTGCTGGCGGTCCTAGGACTCGTTCCCATGCCGTTATATATGTAAGGTTTATTTGGAATATGTGTGTTGTGAGTGTGAAGTAGATGTCTAATACCTGTCCGGGGCACTGGAGAGCATCAAAACATTGCTTCTCAAATGCTGTTGGTTGTGATGTGCCTGCTTGCTTGATCATGGGTTGTTGTACTAGGTCGCGTAGTTGTATGTAGCAAAAGTAGTTCGAGGTATCTACATTTGAGAGGTCGTTATATGTGAACACGTCACCCCATTGGCATAGGTGTAGTAACCTTGATATGTCCCTGTGACGGTACCAACCCCGCCACTGGTCATTGGAGGAGCCTGGTTGCTCGCCTGCTCCCTTTGGACTATGGCCCCATGTGGAAACACTTGATTTTCCCCTGCAAAGACCCAAAAGCCAGGTCATTCGGTACTTTCCCTATTTGAACAGTGATACCCCAGATAGCGATGCCATGGAGCCCATTCGTATAACGAAAGACTATGTGAAAGACTTTGGCTCCATGGCAACTGAACTGTATGTATGTGATCTGAGCGCCATTCAGTAATAATGCACGCTCAGATCTAAGCTATCTGGGGATGTGTTGAATGTACCTGTTTTATGCAATTGCTGCACAGTTATATATATTTATGTATTTTATTGTCTTTTGCTACCATGTGGCTAATGGAGTTTTGCCTCTGTCCTTGGAGATAATTGGATTACTTCCCAATTATCTCCAGGATAGAAGACTCTGTGGAACCGGTTTTGGGCAGAAAAGCCATGCTTCATTTGGTCACAAAGGACTTTGAGCTAACTTTTGACCCACTGGACCAATTTGCATGATTTTGACTTATGTTTGTATTTGGAGTATGCTGATTCTAATAATGTAAGTTTTATGTGAATGATGCATACTTTTAAAGTTATGAATATTGTGTAAAACCTTGTATTTTCCTGCCTGTGATAATTACATTAACCCATTGTGTAAGTTAATTGCATCACAGGCAGAGGGAGGATTTTGTGTGGGAGTGTCTGAGGGTTTATTGGTTGTTTTACAAAACCCTGTGGGTGGTACTAATGTGTAAGAATGTGTATATAAGAACAATAAACCCACAGCTCTGGCTGATTCTGCTTGAACCTCAAAACGAAGTGTCGTCTCGTTATTAGGGGAATTGGATTGTATGCTGTTTCAGACCGATTGCCAGGAGTGTAAACTGTTCGCAGGGTTTTTCCTATTCGGCTGTTTACAGCATTCACATGTTTGAGAGCATTCGTATGCTTCTCCGGTTCGGTGGATTGGTGTCTACAGTAGCTGCCTGTTTATCTGAAAGGGGAATATCTCCTAAACGGCTGTTAACCCCTTATATGCCTGGGGGTGGCGTTACAGTCCCGTTGGTCGAAGTTGATGATTGGTCGAAGTTGATGAAGTGCTTTGGGGTCATTCCTGGTGGGAAGATTTTGTTATGGTAGATTGGTGTGACCGGGGAGAGGAAGGAGGAAAGGTGGTATTTAGGGTTTAGTTTGTCCCAAAGGGCTAGCGTATGCGTAATCGCTGGCGAGGTGGGTGGTGGTAGTTCTCTGTATTTTGGTGGGACCCACATGTAGGAAGACGGTTGCTCCAAGCCCAGAATGTCATGTTCGAGATCGACTCATTGTTTGATACCCAGTGGTGAGTGCCATTGTTGCAGTTGTTGCAATTGGGCCGCGTGGTAGTAGTGCTGGAAGTTTGGCAGCCCTAGTCCGCATTGTGGTTTTGGGACGTACATCGTGTTTTTTTCGATCGCCATTCAAATTTATCGATGGCCTCCTGCAGGTTTTTGAAATCTGTGTTCAGAATAGGGATTGGTTGGGTCTGGATAAGGTATAAAACAGGCACGGCCAAAGAAGGTGGTCAAAGGCCTTCTCGGCGTCCAGGGAGAGTATCACTGATGGAAGTCTTTTAATGTGGGTGTACAATATTGTGTTGAAGGCTCTTCTCGTGTTGTCTGCCGCCTGTCGTTTGGGAATAAAGCCAACTTAGTCTGGATGGATCAATTGTGGGAGATATGGGTTGATGCGGTTGGCTAGTGCCTTGGTGAGTATTTTCAAGTCACTGTTTAGGAGCGAGATCGGACTGTAGTGGCCCGGGTCAAGGTGTTCTTTGCCCGGTTTCGGAAGGAGGCAGATGTCTGCTTTGAGCATCTCTGGTGGGAGGGGTTTGCCCTGGAGGAGTGAGTTGAAGACTTTGTATATATGTGGGATGAGCAGGTTCTGGAAGTTTTTATAATAAATGGCCGTGAAGCCGTCTGGGCCTGGGCTTTTTGTGGGCTTCAACGTTTTGAGCGCCGTGGTGACCTCCTCTGTATCGAGGGGTACTGCCAAGCGTTCTTTGATTTAAAATATTTCTAAATCAGCTGCTGAAAGCTAAATTAACTCTATTGTACTCGGCCAGACACAGCCAGTTTACCAGCCTCTATATCTATTTATTCCATATAGGAATTGTTTTTTTGGCAGGAATCACTGACTTACCTCAAGACTTGGGTAAATCCCATTTTCTGTTACTTTCTTCATAGTTACATGGTTACAAAGGCTGAAAAGAGACAAGTGTTCATCAAGTTCAGCCTTCCTCACAGCTGTTTTTGCTGTTGATCCAAAAGAAGGCGAAAAAAAACTTCCTAGTTTGCAAACAAATAGGAAAAGATTCCTTCTTGACCCCAGAATGGCAGCCAGATTTATCCTTGGTTCAAGAAGCTATTCTTCCAGTCTAAACACATGACCCTGTATAGTCCTATGTATAGTCCTGTTTGTGAAAAGATTGGCCTTACCTCACTGATACCTTACAAGTTTGAAACGATCATCTGGGGTTGCTGTATCTCTCAGAGGGAACTTGCTGGCATTTCGGATTTGGACTGCCCTTACGGGTGGGACCAGTCTGATATGCTTCAGATTTGTTCTCTCTGTAATGGCACAAGATGAGCTAAAACCAGCTTGAGATCTGAGCTGGGACCCACCAAAGGGCAGGCTAATTGAGCTGTTGTCTGTTCTCACCTCTCTTGCTACTTGTTTTTCTCTGTTTGTGAAAAGATTTCCACACAATGGTTTGTACTGGCCCCGGATATTTGTATAATGTTATCATATCCCCTCTGAGGCAAAATATTTCTAAACTAGAGAGGTTTAAATTTGTTAACCTTTCTTCATAGCTAAAATGTTCCATTACTTTTATTAATTTTGTAACCTGCCTCTGCACTCTTTCTAGTGTCATAATATCCATAGGCGTGTGCACCCTAAAGCACAAAACGCTGTGTATATATATATATATACAGGGAGTGCAGAATTATTAGGCAAGTTGTATTTTTGAGGATTAATTTTATTATTGAACAACAACCATGTTCTCAATGAACCCAAAAAACTCATTAATATCAAAGCTGAATATTTTTGGAAGTAGTTTTTAGTTTGTTTTTAGTTATAGCTATGTTAGGGGGATATCTGTGTGTGCAGGTGACTATTACTGTGCATAATTATTAGGCAACTTAACAAAAACAAATATATACCCATTTCAATTATTTATTATTACCAGTGAAACCAATATAACATCTCAACATTCACAAATATACATTTCTGACATTCAAAAACAAAACAAAAACAAATCAGTGACCAATATAGCCACCTTTCTTTGCAAGGACACTCAAAAGCCTGCCATCCATGGATTCTGTCAGTGTTTTGATCTGTTCACCATCAACATTGCGTGCAGCAGCAACCACAGCCTCCCAGACACTGTTCAGAGAGGTGTACTGTTTTCCCTCCTTGTAAATCTCACATTTGATGATGGACCACAGGTTCTCAATGGGGTTCAGATCAGGTGAACAAGGAGGCCATGTCATTAGATTTTCTTCTTTTATACCCTTTCTTGCCAGCCACGCTGTGGAGTACTTGGACGCGTGTGATGGAGCATTGTCCTGCATGAAAATCATGTTTTTCTTGAAGGATGCAGACTTCTTCCTGTACCACTGCTTGAAGAAGGTGTCTTCCAGGAACTGGCAGTAGGACTGGGAGTTGAGCTTGACTCCATCCTCAACCCGAAAAGGCCCCACAAGCTCATCTTTGATGATACCAGCCCAAACCAGTACTCCACCTCCACCTTGCTGGCGTCTGAGTCGGACTGGAGCTCTCTGCCCTTTACCAATCCAGCCACGGGCCCATCCATCTGGCCCATCAAGACTCACTCTCATTTCATCAGTCCATAAAACCTTAGAAAAATCAGTCTTGAGATATTTCTTGGCCCAGTCTTGACGTTTCAGCTTATGTGTCTTGTTCAGTGGTGGTCGTCTTTCAGCCTTTCTTACCTTGGCCATGTCTCTGAGTATTGCACACCTTGTGCTTTTGGCTCCAGTGATGTTGCAGCTCTGAAATATGGCCAAACTGGTGGCAAGTGGCATCGTGGCAGCTGCACGCTTGACTTTTCTCAGTTCATGGGCAGTTATTTTGCGCCTTGGTTTTTCCACACGCTTCTTGCGACCCTGTTGACTATTTTGAATGAAACGCTTGATTGTTCGATGATCACGCTTCAGAAGCTTTGCAATTTTAAGAGTGCTGCATCCCTCTGCAAGATATCTCACTATTTTTGACTTTTCTGAGCCTGTCAAGTCCTTCTTTTGACCCATTTTGCCAAAGGAAAGGAAGTTGCCTAATAATTATGCACACCTGATATAGGGTGTTGATGTCATTAGACCACACCCCTTCTCATTACAGAGATGCACATCACCTAATATGCTTATTGGTAGTAGGCTTTCGAGCCTATAGCTTGGAGTAAGACAACATGCATAAAGAGGATGATGTGGTCAAAATACTCATTTGCCTAATAATTCTGCACTCCCTGTATATATATATATATATATATATATATATATATATATACACACACACACATATACATACGCACACACACACTTCTGTGTGTGGGTGTAGGTGCTGTGTGTGTGTGTGTGGGCTCTGTGTGTGTGTGTGTGAGGGTGCTGTTAGTGTGTGTGTGTATGTGTAAGGGTGCGGTGTGTGAGGGTGATGTTAGTGTGTGTGTGTGTGAGAAAGGGTGCTGTGTGTGTATGTGTGAGGGTGCTGTGTGTAAGGGTGCTGTTAGTGTGTGTAAGGGTGGTGTGTGTGTGTGGGTACTGTTTGTGTGTTTTGTGTGGGGGTGGGGAGGCCGTTTAGTTAATACCCCACCCATTTACCTCTTTATAGGGAGCGGGGACTGTGCTGCTGCCATCTCTGGTGGTCCAGTGGTGAGTGAACTCTAGCCCTGCAGTGGGCTAGAGTTCACTGACGCGAGATCGAACCATTGCCGCGGCAACGCTCCAACCTCGCGAGAGGTACCTGGCAGAGCTGCTGGCTAGAGCTCCCCGGGTCCTCTCCTGCCTCCCTTCATGCCTGTGGGTCGGTGAGGGAGATCTTTGATCTCCCACCGGCCCATGGAGGGAGGCACATAGCGTGGGCAGTCACTCAGATGGCCAGTACTGGGTCAATGCTGCACAACATGCAGCACTGACATTTAGCCTCTCCATGCTGTGCGTGGAGACACTGAACGTTCCCCATAGAGATGCATTAATTCAATGCATCTCTATAAGGAGATGCTGGTTGGTGCAGCATGGTGTTTTGCCGCATATGTGCAATTGCCTCCCAATGATTTCCTATGAGAAAGCATTGGATTGGCTGAGATAATTCTGATGATCTCAAGAATTATCAGGGGCGGAATAAAGGTATGTTTTCTGTTTAGGCAGGGTTAGGGAGGCTAAATAGTGTTTTTAACAATATAGGATCAGGAATACACATTGATGTTGATTTAAATAGAACATTTGTCAGCCATAAAGGATAGTGGACATTCTCCCTTAAGATAAAACTATTAATACTAACTTCTTTGAAGTGTGTTCTAGTTTTGATTTCTCCTTTTTCTGTGTAAATGGTGAGATCCAAAAACTTCACTTCTTCAGATCTGAAACATGCAGTGAGTTTGATTTCCCATTTATTGGATCAAGGTATTGTAAGAAGTCTTGTAATGCAGTTTCTTCTCCTTCTCATATAAATAAGACTTCATCAATATATCTTTTGTAAAAGATAATGTTATCTTTCCAATGATGATCATTCCAGATGTAATAATTTTCCCAGTGACTCATGAAAAGGTTGGATAAATGTGGAGCAAATTTTGTCCCATCATCCTACCTTTCTTCTGTAGATAAAATGTCCCCAAAAAACAAAAATAGTTGTTGACTAGGATGAATTTGATACCGTTGATCATGAATTCTATTTGTTTATTAAAATCTCCACTCTCATTTAGAGAATATCTTACAGCATTGCATTCTCTCTGTAACAGATAACCTGTTCATTTGCCTGGTCATTGGATTTATTACATTGTTACATAGTTACATAGTTACATAGCTGAAAAGAGACTTGCGTCCATCAAGTTCAGCCTACCTCACATTTGTTTTTTGCTGTTGAACCAAAAGAAGGCAAAAAAATCCAGTTTGAAGCGCAAAAAAAATTCCTTCTTGACCCCAGAATGGCAGTCAGATTTATCCTTGGATCAAGCAGTTATTACCCTACATTGAAAGATTATATCCTTGAATATTCTGTTCTTGCAAGTATGCATCTAGTAGCCGCTTGAACATCTGTATGGACTCTGATAAAACCACTTCCTCAGGCAGAGAATTCCACATCCTGATTGTTCTTACAGTAAAAAAACCTTTCCTTTGCCTTAGACGAAATCTTCTTTCTTCCAGTCTAAACGCATGGCCTCGTGTCCTATGTAAAGTCCGGTTTGTGAATAGATTTCCACACAGTGGTTTGTATTGGCCCCGAATATATTTGTATAATGTTATCGTATCCCCTCTCAGGCAACATTTTTTCTAAACTAAATAGGTTTAAATTTGTTAACCTTTCTTCATAGCCGATATGTTCCATTCCTTTTATTAGTTTTGTAGCCCGCCTCTGCACTTTTTCTAGTGCCATAATATCCTTCTTTAGAACAGGTGCCCAAAAATTGCACAGCATATTCAATATGGGGTCTTACCAGTGATTTATAAAGAGGCAAAATTATATTCTTGTCCCGAGAATGAATGCCCTTTTTCATGCATGACAATACCTTACTGGCCTTGGCCACTGCTGATTGACATTGCACATTGTTGCATAGTTTGTTGTCGATAACAATTCCCAAGTCCTTTTCATGTGTTGTTATCCCTAATTCGCTTCCATTAAGGGTATACGTTGCTTATGTATTCTTTACGCCGAAGTGCATAACTTTGCATTTTTCAACATTAAATTTCATCTGCCATTTGAGTGCCCAGTCCCCAGTCTATCTAAATCCCTCTGCAGCAAAGTAATATCTTGCTCACATTGTATTGTTTTACAAAGTTTTGTGTCATCTGCAAACACTGAAACATGACTTTCAATGCGGTCTTCAAGATCATTTATAAACGTGTTAAATAGAAGGGGTCCCAGAACAGACCCCTGAGGGACACCACTTGCCACCTCTGTCCAGCTTGAAAATTTACCATTAATGACAACTCTTTGTACTCTGTTTTTAAGCCAATGTTCTATTGTGTGGAACTGTATCAAATGCCTTGGCAAAATCCAAATAGATCACATCCACGGCAACACCCTGATCTATACTTCTACTTACTTCTTCGTAGAACGCAAACAAGTTAGTTTGACATGACCTGTGCTTCATAAAACCACGCTGAATTTTGCTGATAACCATGTTCTTCACAAGGAATTCTTGAATATTATCCCTTAATAACCTTTTAAATATTTTACCAGCCACAGAAGTTAAGCTCACAGGTCTATAATTTCCAGGCAAGGATTTTGAACCCTTTTTGAATATAGGAACCACATCTGCTTTCCTCCAATCCTCCGGAACACTTCCTGAAAGAAAAGAATCTTGAAAGATTAAAAATAGAGGTTCACTTATTTCTACACTTAGTTCCTTAAGTACACGTGGATGGATACCGTCAGGCCCTGGAGCTTTGTTTATATTAACTTTCTTTAGTTGCTGCAGCACCTTGTTAACAATTGAACTCGCAGTACTACCCCAAATTTATGAATTTGGAAAAGAATAGTCATGTTAATTCGTTCGTATAACCGAACAAACAACCGAACAAACTGTCGCACAAGAGACCACCCAGACCAGTCGTGTTCCGCCAATTGACTCATTGACTCTGTGCCAAACCGCAACTTCAACATTCTAAGTGGTTCACTGGGTGGCTGTCTTGTTTTGTCGAACGCGTATAGCGGGATTTGGTCATTGAGTGTCTGGAACTGTTTTCGGGCACTCAATCTCCTGAATACTGCTGAGACTTCCAGGACCACTTAGATTCATGTCAATTCATCCAAAGGAGGCGACGTTCGGTAAAAGCATTATACGAACGAGGCTGAACACGACGATCAAATTCACGAACACTGATGTGAATGGTTATTTGGTATTTTTAAACATACTAAAAGGGCCCGGCCGCACCAGCTGAATGCATGGAACTATTTTGGGCAGGAGCCTCGTGTGTGGCCGGGCAGAAATGGGACTTCCGTCTATATCCCGAATGCCTGAACTGATTTGCATGATTTTTTAATATGTTGGTCCCCTAATTATGCCCTATCAAAATATATAAATTTTATGGGACTTGTATGTGCAGTTATAATATTTCAGAAAATGTGTAAAAGGTTCATTTTTTCGCTTGGAGATAATTGAGTTGATACAGTAATTAACTCAATTATCTTCCAAGCAGAGGGGAGGAATTTACTGTAATGAATGGGGGTGTTTAACTTTGTGACTGTACACTATTGGCTGTTGAATGTATTTTTTGGTGCCCCACAAGGTCCACATGGGTGGAAACCTTGTGGGAAAAGTTGCATAAAAGGCCAGCCTGGCACATTAAACTGTCAGATCTGCTTAACCCTCAATACGTAGCCTTGTCTCGTGTTTGTAGGGAAACTGCATTCAGCTAATCACTAGCTCTTGTAAGAGCTCTGCTATTCTCTCTCTTCACTGGTTTGGCTGATGGAACATCTGGAGCATAATGCAGCACAGCCTCTCACAAGGGAAAAGGACGTCTCCAACGGCTTACACCCCTCTGACACACAGGGTGGCCTTTACACTCTCCTATGTTCTATAATTGCATACAATGAGGTGACGTCTGCTACAACAAGAAAACATTTACACCGGATCAGGTCCATCAGGTTTTTAATTACACTTGTGGTATCACAGCTTTATAAGCAGGAAGAAATGATTTATGTATTGCAATTGATTTCCTGTGTGTGAATTTATCCCTGAAATAATGGGTGTTCCCAGTGGAGATGAGAGATTTTTACATATTATAGGTAGAAAATAAAATACTGGAGTCCTGGGTTTGAAATGTGGAGAAAATTCTATTCTGCTGTAGTGATAATGCCCTCTTTTTTGGCTTTCCATAGAGATTATCTAGGGGATTCTTCATGGTTTGTAATGGATTTCCTTTGAAATCCACCAGGAGAGCACTTATTGGAGCTTTTTGAAGATGCCTGAGACTAAGGGGAACAAATGCTACCTAAGAGCCAGCCAGTGAACCCCATATTGCAAACGCAGAGCTCCCGAAAGTTGACCGGCCAAAGCAGCAAATGCCCTGGAACTGTTTTGGGCATAGGACCAGGTGTTTCGGGCGGTCAGAACTTTAACACAGTGGCATTTCCTCTACACTGCATGGATCTGAGTGCTATTTAGAGAACTTGGGTGCTAAGATCAGGACTATTTAATTATGTATTATTTATGTTTTTATTGTGTTTTGGGGTATTTTTATGTTTTATATTTTTATGTTTGCCTCTCTGTTCCTGGGAGATAATTAGCTTACCGGTCTTTAACGCAATTATCTCCCAGGCACTAAGATCTTTGGGAGGGGCTTGCATAGTATTGTGTGGAGACCCTTTGCTGGGAGTTGTGTATAAAAGCAGGAAACGTAGCAATAATAAACCAGTTCTTTTCACCCTTCACTGAGTCTGGGCTAGTGTTTGGGTGGATCAGCTATACTCTCTGCAGGAGAGCTTAATCACTTGAAGCTGTACCCGAGACACAGCGGAAAGTGACAGAGAGACCCCAGCCAAGCTGTGTTTGCTAGGGACTGAAGTACTCGTGTCCCAGAGGAGAGCTAGTAAGCGAGCTTGATGGAGGTACCCGTGGTGCCAGGTGGTCCGTTACAATAGCCTTATGCCAATGCCTAGGGAGTTTAAGCCTTATGCTTAAACTCCCTCACTGTGTTAACCTCTACAACTTCAGCCGGAAGGCTATTCCATGCATCCACTACCCTCTCAGTAAAGTAATACTTCCTGATATTATTTTTAAACCTTTGTCCCTCTAATTTAAGACTATGTCCTCTTGTTGTGGTAGTTTTTCTTCTTTTAAATATAGTCTCCTCCTTTACTGTGTTGATTCCCTTTATACATTTAATTGTTTCGATCATATCCCCCCCATCATCCCATTTGTTAACACTAAATCTAGTATGGCCTCATTGTTTTAGAGACAATCCCAGTAGGGAGTTTAGAATATGTGTGCTCCTGGCACAAACAGCTATTTTTGTTTTCCAATTCATATCAGGAAGATTAAAGTCACCCATTGTGGCAAAACTAGCCACTTAAGAAATGTATGTGGGTAAAATGTTTAATTTTTCGTTTATTTTCCCTTTTATTACATGTATATGTATAGGGAATGCCGCCAGCGTTCTGCTTGGAGTTCCACGAACAGTGATTTTCAAACACTGTTCGTGAAACGAACAAACTGCCGAATGGGAGACCACACAACAGGGGTCGTGTGTCTCCCATTAACTACTGCAACAATGTATCTCCAGTTTATTAATGGTTTCGTGGGTGGCTGCCGTTTGTATACCGAACACGTGGCGGCGCCCATCTTTGTTCACGAAAGCACAGCGGTATTTGGTCGTTGAGTGCCTGGTAATAAAATCGGCTACTCGACTTACCGAACACCGCTGGACTTCCAGGCCGTTCGTGCAAATTCGACTAATTCCGCTCACTATTTTACAAGTTATGGATTTTAATGTACAATTGTATGTTTTACTGTACGGAGAGATAATGTGATTATCAGTACATTCTTACACAATTATCTCTCCTGTACAGCATGGCCTGATGGGAAACGACCTTGCAGGGTCAGTTTCCCACACAGTCCCCTTGAGTTTGTAAACCCCTTGCATGGGGAACTGCATAAATACCGTGACCTGTGAACAGGGCCGGACTGGGAAAAAAATTAGGCCCGGGCATTTTTCAATGAGAGCGGCCCCCTAAGAAGGGGGCGGGGCCAGAGAGTGTGTGTTTTGTCATCACTAATGACAAGCACACCCCCTCTCAAAGTGAGCATGTTGGTTCAATGCCCAGAGCCCTGCTGAAGAGCTTTGGCATTAGAAAAAGGCCCTGTATTTGCTCTGCGCAGCGCAAGCAAATTTATTAACATGCTTGCGCTGTGTTTGCTTTTAAATTGTCTCTGGTGTCTCCACAAGTGGGATACCAGAGGACAAAAGGGCCAGGAAAGTGTACGGTGCATATGTTTGGAGCCTGCTTGTGGGATTGCGTCTGTGAAGAGTGTGGTGTGGTATTGTGTAAATAGGTCAATTTAATTTGTGTTTGTGGTGTAATATGTGTGGCTAGGGGCTGTAGAGAGTGTGTGTATAGGGGGCATAGTTTTATAGGGGATGCAGCGAGTGTGTGCATACGGGCTGAAGTGTGTGTGTTTAGTGTGTGTAGGGGTTGTAGAGAGGGTGTGTTTAGAGAATGTTGTATGTGTTTGCTGACAAGGAATGTAGTGTGTGTGTGTAGGAGATCTACTGTGTAAAGGACCCAGTGTGTGTGTGTGTGTGTGTGTGTGTAGAGGATTAAGAGTGCATATAGGGTAAGGGATCTAGTGTGTATCTGGAGCGTAATGTGTGTAGTGGTGCAGTGTGAGGGGTGCTGTAGTGTGGTGTGTGTGTGTGTGTATGTATATATATATATATATATATTTGGACTTATTGTATGTGTGAGGGGCGCAGTGTGTGTATGTAAGAGGGGTGCTGTGTGTGAGGGTGTTTTTATCTGCTGTCACATTCTAGGTTTCTAATTTTCTTTGTCTGTTAACTCACTGAGGGTTATTTTATATATATGTGTGTGCTGTATATGTGTGGGAGTGTGCTGTGTGTGTCTGGGGGTGCTGTGTGTGTCTGGGGGTGCAGTGTGAGTGTGGGTGCTGTGTCTGGGTGCGCTGTGTGTGTCTGGGTGCCAGTGTGTGTCTGGGTGCTGTGTGTGTCTGGGAAGCGTGTGTCTGGGGGGTGCTGTGTGTTTAGGTGCTGTGTGTAAATTGGGGTGCTGTGTGTGTGTCTGGGTGCTGTGTGTGTCTGGGGGGTGCTGTGTCTGTCTGGGGTGCTGTGTGTGTGTCTGGGGGTGCTGTGTGTGTCTGGGGGTGCTGTGTGTCTGGGGGTGCTGTGTGGGTGCTGTGTGTGTGTCTGGTGGGTGCTGTGTCTGGGGTGCTGTGTGTTTCTGGGGGTGCCAGGTGTTTCTGGGGGTGCTGTGTGTTTCTGGGTGCTGTGTCTGGGTGCTGTGTGTGCTGGTGGTGCTGTGTGTGTCTGGTGGGTGCTGTGTGTGTGTCTGGGGGTGCTGTGTGTGTCGGGGGTGCTGTGTGTGTCTGGGGGTGCTGTGTCTGGGTGCTGTGTGTCTGGTGGAAGCAACGTCTGGGGGTGCTGTGTGTCTGGGGGTGCTGTGTTTCTGGGGTGCTGTGTCTGGGTGCTGTGTGTGTCTGGTGGGTGCTGTGTCTGGGGTGCTGTGTTTGTCTGGTGGGTGCTGTGTCTGGGGTGCTGTGTGTGTCTGGGGGGTGCTGTGTGTGTCTGGTGGGTGCTGTGTCTGGGGGTGCTGTGTGTGTGAGTGAATGTATTTTTTATTAAAATTTTAATATTTTTTTTTTATTAATAAAAAAAAAAAATTATATCCCCTCCCCCCCCTTCTTACCTTTAGCCTGGGGGGGGGAGGAGATCCATTCTGCCTGGGGGGTGGGGAGCCATGCTGCCTTCCCTGGGGGTCCAGTGGTGAGAGTGAACTCTAACCCGTGAGTTCACTCTCGCGAGATCTGAGCGTTGCCGCGGCAACGCTCAGAATCCCGAGAGAGGACCGGGCGGAGCTGCTTGTTAGAGCTCCGCCGGCCCTCTCTCCTCCCTCCTGCCCTCCCCAGCCGGCGGCCGCATTTCCACGGAGGCACACAGCAGGGCTGGCGCTCGGATTTGCCCGGTATGCCCGATGGCCAGTCCAGGCCTGCCTGTGAATAAAAGCTCAGTTGACATCCAAGCTATGTGTCGTCTAGTTCTTGGGAGAAAGGGATTGTTATTACGCTACCTGTGTTTTACCTGCTTATCCTGACTGTCAGTGGAGACTTCGTGGATTATCCCCTACTACTCCGCTACACCCACGATGATAATTTCCCCCTTTATTGTCATTTTAGCTATTTCCTCAACTAGTAGATTATATAATTCTTCTATTTGTCCTGGGGGCCTATAAATCACACCTACATGAGTTACTGTGTGATTACCAAATTCTAACGTAGCCCAAACGGACTCTATGTTTGCCTCACTAACTTTTATTAGGCTAGATTTTATGATATCCTTCACATACAAGGCCACCCCTCCCCCTTTCTTGCCTTCCCTATCTTTCCTATATAAAGAGTACCCTGGTATTGCTATGTCCCAGTCATTTTTCTCATTGTACCATGTCTCCGTAACAGCGACTAAATCTACATTATCAGTTGCCATTATTGCCACAAGTTCATGGATCTTATTCCCTAAACTGCGAGCATTTGTAGACATGACTCTAAGCTTAGCATTTTTTAACAGTCTTATCTAGTAGTTAGACAAATACTGAACTGAATATCAGAAAAACAGGGCACCACAATCACTTAAAAAATCTTTAAAATTAACTCTGGAGATTCCTATAAAAGGAAACAATCAGTAGAGATAAAATATTCACTTTATTATAAATAAAATCATAAGCAATAGCACATAACTTAATAACAAATTTGCAAAATATATAAAAGTATATAAAACAGCCACACTTGGCCAAGAACCCTTAGTATCATGTTTAAACCAACATGATACTTGAATGGAAATAATAGGGCATGTGCTAAAGTGCTTCCACCACTCCACCACAGGCTACAGACCCACAATACACAAAAAATACTATGATGGTAAAAATAAACAGTATACATGTAAAAAAGACTGCTCTACCAAAATACAGGGTTTTTGCTGGTGCTCAACCCCTCTTGTCAGTATTCCATACAGAACTCCGGTGTCCCCGGGATGCTTCCCCACTTGCTAGGAAGCCATCCCACTGCACGCTTCAAAGCTACCGCTTCAACCACTAGCCGCCGCAGTCTCGCCATTGCTTCCCACCTTGGACCAGGGTCATGGGTCCAAAAGGAACTGACATACAAAACTTTATTTTTCTTGGGACTAGCCCAAGCACAATTATTACATCAGGAGTATTACATCAAGATTGCTGTGACAATTCAATAAAAATACAAACAGTCAAATCACATTAGACAACATACAAGAACTTGTAATAACGTAATGACATATTTATAAAGGGGTGGGAAAGACAACAATTAACATAAAACATATCTCCTGTCTGCAGAAATAGCAATATGCAAATCACCTGAATATGCAAATTAACCAGCCTTGCTATTCAGGTAGTGCATATTGCTGTTGCTACCAACAGAGGGCACTAGACAAGCTCCATAGCCGAATCCGCCTAGTTGGTAGCAATCCTCAGCAGTACAGGAGAGCAGGCAATACACTACACAGTACACACACACACGTTATAAAAAATTGCATTACACACACCCTGCACCTATAATGGGTACAGGCTGACTAAAACATAAGAAATGTCCAACAACCTACATAAATAGTCTGTCTGTAGGTCCAGGTGATGGTGATTACCGTCACAGGAGAAAAATGACAGATTTGATTTTATTGTTTTTAAACACCTAATCTAGGCAAAATAATGGGGGTTTAGTTACATTATATGAACATACATTGCATAAGCCTGCCACAACGTCAATGTACCCCATTCTTTTCTTTTTTTTTTGCAGATTTAATTTTTTTTTTTTTGTTATTGATTTAAACATATAGACATCATACTATTTCATGAACATAGAGAGAAAAGAAAAAACAAAAAAGACATATCATATGAATGATAAATTACACAGATACATTTAGTCCATACATAAACAATTGAAATTTATGTTGTTTAACAAATTATACTACTCAGGCCTGATGTATTTTAAATTACTACCTATGTATTCATATAGCAGGAGAAAGTATACATTTTAGGTGGTTTTTAAATTAAGTTTATAGTACAGTTAATTTTTCTAAGATTATTTCAGTCCAAGATCATTCTGCAATATTATTCTACTGTTGCTCATATATGATTCACATGACAAAACAAACACAAAAAAAAGAGAGAAAATATTTGGCTGGGGAGGACGAGAGAACATCGCACCCATCCTTAATTGCTGATATACCTATGAGAACATTCTTCAATATAAACCGCCAGAGTCCATTTAAAGATCTAACTCGATAGAGGTCTAAAATTGAATAGTAGATAAATAATTTAGTGGTCTTCTTATATTGATATCGGAAGTTATAATATTCACACCAAATATTATTATAGTGTATAGTTATTTTTTTCATTATACTTTGGTAATTAGTTTGGGATATAATTTCGGAAGAGCTAAGGCTTTCCTCGCTCTTCCAATACCTGGTTATACAGACCTTCGTTACCATTAAACCATGAACTGCCAAACAAATTTCTAGTTTAGATAGACATGTGAGATCAATATGGAATAGAAACTTTTCAGGAGTTAAATACATAATTTTTCAATTCAAATCTTTAAAGGGTTGCAACAAAAATTTTTTTTTTTATCCCAATCAGTGAGGAACAATCCCACCATACATGCTTTATAGTTCCAAGATCTTTATTACATCTCCAACACTGGTTAGAATAATTTAAATTAAAGATAAACCACATTCTTCTAATACAGTTGTCATTATCCTGCGGGCTAGTCTTGCTTTTTTGCTCCCCATAAAAAGGCTTGAAATAATTTAGCAAAAAGATTCAAAACTCTCTTCGGCACTCTTAGAGGTAACATCTGAAAAAGGTATTCCAGTTTGGCTACTATATATGCTCTCAGCATATTCAATCTACCCCTCCAAGATAATGTTATATTCCCTCTGGATTTAATTTGATTTTGAAGGATTTTAGTATAGTACTTATTTACCCATGTATTTATATCAAAGTTAATCATAGTTTCAAGATATTGAATAAATCGAGAAGACCAATTGAATCTATATTTTTGTTTAAGAAAATTATCTTGGGTTAATGAAAGATTACAATGTACAGTGCCTTGCAAAAGTATTCACCCCCCTTGGCATTTTTTGTGTTGTGTTGCCTCACAACCTGGAATTAACATGGATTGTTTGAGGATTTGCATCATTTAATTTACAGAAAATGCCCACAACTTTGAAGATGTTTTTTTTTTATTATTTTTTTGTGAAGCAAACAACTAATAGGATAAAATAACAGAAAAAGTCAATGTGCATAACTATTCACCCCTCTAAAGTCAATACTTTGTAGAGCCACCTTTCACAGGTCCAAGTCGCTTTGGGTAAGTCTCTATGAGCTTGCCGCATCTTACCACTGGGATTTGTGCTCATTCATCCTTGCAAAACTGCTCCAGCTCCTTCAAGTTGGATGGTTTGCACTTGTGAACAGCAATCTTTAAGTCTGACCACAGATTTTCTATTGGATTGAGGTTTGGGCTTTGACTAGGCCATTCCAACACATTTACATGTTTCCCCTAAAACCATTCAAGTGTTGCTTTAGCAGTGTGTTTGGGGTCATTGTCCTGCTGGAAGGTGAACCTCCGTCCTAGCCTCAAATCACGCACAGAGTGGTACAGGTTTTGCTCAAGAATATCCCTGTATTTAGCACCATCCATCTTTCCCTCTGTAATGCACCGTTTTGCACACAAGAGGTTAAAAAACGTTTAGGCGATATTCCCCTTTACAGATGCACGGACAGCTACTGCAAGCACCAATCTCCCGAACTGCAAACTACACGAATCCTCCAACTCCCGAACCGGAAACACACGAATACTGGAAACAGCCGAACAGGAAAAGCATACAATCAGCTTACACTCCTGGCAATCAGCATACAATCCAATTCCCCCCAAGAACAAGACGACACTTTTTGAGGGTCAAGCTGAATCTGGTTTACTGGGGCTACCTGCCGGGCTTTTATGCAGGTCTCCCACCTGGTGGACACCCCCCTTATGGTTATGATAGATTTGATGGTGCTCCTGGGGATCATCAAAGATTTGGATATGTTTTTATAACCTAACCCTGACCTTGGTCTTCATGGCAGCGTTTGGTTAGTGGTGCCTCTTGCTTAGGTGTTGCAGCCTCTGGAGCCTTTCAAAAAATGTGTGTATATGTAATGACAGATCATGTGACACTCAGTTGCACACAGGTGGACATCATTTCACTAATTATGTGACTTCTAAAGGTAATTGGTTGCACCAGAGCTTTTTATGGACTTCATAACAAAGGGGGTGAATACATACGCACATGCCAATTTTCTGTTTTCTATTTCTAAAAAATAGTTTGATGTATATATTTTTCTCATTTCACTTCACCAACTTAGACTATTGTGTTCTGATCCATCACATACAATTCAGATTAATAAAACATTGAACTTAAGGCTGTAATGTAACAAAATAGGTAAGAAGTCAAGGGGGGTGAATACTTTTGCAAGGCACTGTATAATCTGAGTTTTTTTGTAAATTGATTTTGTAATTAGAAAGATGATTAAAGTCCTTAATACAATCCATTGCTTTAGAAATGGAAGTCTCTGGTTGAGTAAGAGTTAAAATGTTGTTGTCTGTGAATAGTTATTTTTAGTTCACTGCCCCCCTTTACAATTCCTGAACTATTAACTGATAGTCTAATATATGCTGCTTATATATGCTTCTAAAGGTTCGATAGAAAGAACGCACATCAGAGACGTCAATGGGCACCCCTGATGTGTACCGTTCTTTATATCAAACCAGTGTGAATTCAAACCGTTACCAAATACTTTAGATTTAGGATATGTGTAGAGTGGCATTGCTAGATCTTTAAAGATTCCTTCTATTCCAAAAACTGTTAAAGTCTCATCTAAAAATGTCCAATTCACTCCGTTGAATGCCTTTTCAGCTTCGACGGCTATGAAAACAGATGACAAATGATCTTTATTTATCTTCAGTGTTATATTGGTGATCTTTCGAAGGTTATCACCCCCCAGATCTTGCTTTTACAAACCCTGATTGATCATTGTTAATTACATCAGGAATAACTTTACGAAATCTGGTTGCTAAAATATTTGAAAGAATTTTTATTTCCAAATTTGTAAGCGAGATCGGACGGTAACTAGTGATAAAATGGGGATCTTTCCCTGGTTTGGGAATGACCGAAATTGTAGCTTTTAACAGATCTAAAGATAATTTTTTAGATGTGTTCATTTCGGTAAAAATTTACCAAGTCTAAATTAGAGGTTCAAAAGTTTTATAAAAAAGGGCAGTAAAGCCTGGGCCAGGAGCTTTTCCATTATTTAAATTATTTATCACTATCTTAATCTCTTCAGTTGTTATGCCTTTCTTTAATTCTGCCAATTTTTCAGATTTTATTAAAGTAAGGGAAATTTTATTTAAAAATTATTTTAGCTCTATATTTTAAACTTTAACTTCTGGTAAATTATATAAGGAAGCATAATCATTTTTTTTATTAGTTTTTCCCCCCCAGATTTAAGTTTTTTAGAAAGTAATTTCGCTTGTTATTGCTACTTTACCAATTCTGATTAAAAGATAAAATATTTTTTAACTCTATCTGTAAGTAGTTAATGTATCTGTAGTTGTGTTTTATTTGATTAGCTAATAACCCAGAAGGAAAATTATAATTATACAGAAAAAGGATTCTGATTCCAATCCTGCGCACTCGCTTACTCACTAAACAATGATTTCAAATCTCACATATTGTAAGAGTTTTATTTAAAAACACCTCACCTAGGCAAAAAATGATGGGGGTTTAGTTACATTATATGATCATAAGCCTGCCACAACGTCAATGTACCCCATTCTTGGCCGTTCCTACTCTAGCAGCCTAATGCCTGCCCTTATGAGATTAATCCACTTACTTGGGAACCACTTCCTCCTGGGACTGTCTGCAGGTCAAGGATAAATAGGGCAGGCTATTACTATTACTATTCAGCTGCCGATTTGGTTAATTCAAAGAGCATGTGCTGAAAAGTGCTTTGAGACCCACTGGGAGAAAGGCGCTATATAAATACTAGTTATTATATTATTATTATTATTATTATTATTATTATTAACCCCTTAAGGACTGGACTGTTTTTGCGATGTTGTACATTTGCGACCAGGAATATTTTTACACTTTTGTGGTGTTTGTGTTTGGCTGTAATTTTCCGCTTTCTCATTTACTGTTCCCATACAAATTATATATTGTTTTTTTCAGGACAAAAAGGGCTTTCTTTACATACCATTATTTATATAATCTCATGTATTTTAATTTTAAAAAAATACAAAAATCTGATGAAAAATTGAAAAAAATACATGTTTTTTGACTTTTACTTGAAAAATCTTTTACTCATCTACAAAAGCGAATGAAAAAACTGCTAAATAGATTCAAAATTTTGTCCTGAGTTTAAAAATACCTAGTGTTTACGTGCTTTTTTGCTTTTTTTGCATGTTATAGGGCTATAGGTACAAGTAGAATATTGCGGTTTCAAAACATAAATTTTTTAAATTTATCAATAGTGACATTGTAACACTATTATCTGTCATAAATCTCTGAATAACACCCCACATGTACATATTTTTTTTAAAGTAGACAACCCAGGGTATTCAATATGGGGTATGTCCAGTCTTTTTTAGTAGCCACTTAGTCGAAAACACTGGCCAAAGTAAGCATTCATATTTGTTTGTGTGTGAAAAAAGTAAAAAAACTAAATTGAACGCTAATTTTGGCCAGTGTTTGTGACCAAGTGGTTACTAAAAAAGACTGGACATACCCCATTTGCAATACCTTGGGTTGTCTTCTTTTGCAAATGGTATGCCATCATGGGGTAATTCTCATTCCTGGGCTACCATACGCTCTCAAAGGCAACGTAACCAACCTGGCCATTTTCAATGTAAAAATATTTGACCCATATATTTGACCTTGTAACTTTCAAAAATGCTATAAAACCTGTACATGGGGGGTACTGTTTTACTCGGGAGACATCGCTGAACACAAATATTAGTGTTTAAAAACTGGAAAACGTATCACAACAATTATATCATCAGTAAAAGTGCTGTTTGTGTGTGAAAAATGCAAAAAAAGTAACTTTCACTGACAATATCATCGCTGTGATATGTTTTACTGTTGTGAATCACTAATATTTGTGTTCAGCGAAGTCTCCCGAGTAAAACAGTACCCCCCATGTACAGGTTTTAGGGTGTCATAGAACGTTACAGGGTAAAATACAGTGCTAGCAAATTAAATTCTCTGGAATTTCGGCCTGGGTTGGCAGGCAGGTCCCTCAAATTGCAATCAATAAAATGACTGAATTATGTAAAAATATTACATAAATACGCACATAGAATTTAAATATATATGCATATTTATATATTTGAAGTCTACGTGTATATTTATATAATTATTTATGTAATTTTGTATATGGACGTATGTATATTTCTTATTATTTTTATTTATATATACATAGATATATATACAAATTCATTCTAAGTGTATTTTGATATAAATATATATATATTAATTTTAAAATACAGTTAGAATAAAATTTCATATAGCTATATAATTTTTTTTTAATTTTTTATTATTATTTAAAAAAAATTTAATTTAATTTAAATTACTTATTATTTATATTTTATAATAATATATATATACAATATATATAGTTATTATATATATTATATATATACGTGTGTAATTTAATTATAAGTGTATTTTATATTAATATAAGTACATATTAATATAAAAATACACTTAGTATGACATTATATATATATGATATATAGACATATATTATATAGATATAATATATGTCTATATATCATATATACACATATATAATTATTTTATTTTTTTTAATTAACACTAACTTTATTTTTTTTTTCTGATTTTACACTAGCAGGGAGACTGACTGCCTGTCAGCACAGACAGTCCCCCTGCAGGCAGACAAATGGACACCTATTGTGACCATGTGATCGCTGTGTTAAGCGATCACATGGCCACAGGGGTCCAAATCTGCCGTGGGGAGACTGTCTGGGCTGCAGGCAGTCTCCCCACAACCGGAGGAACACTGATCGCCGCCGGGGGAACGACGGCGATCAGGTAAGTACCCCCAGACCGTTAGGACGGTTCAGGACCGTCATCGGTCCTCAAGGCAAAAATGCCGATGACGGTCCTGAACCGTCCTCGGTCCTTAAGGGGTTAAAGTTGCTGTTTAGTGTATGAGTGAGTGTGCCGGATCTTGTGTATTGTATAAATCGTCCCCAGCAACACCCCATTTATGCATGTTCAGGTGAGTGCAGCCCTCTGGTTTCATATATTGGAAGGCCATTTGGCCCGAATTTGTGGGAGGAGTTATGACCCTTATTTAAACTCCTACCCTGCTACTTACCTTTGCCGTTCAAGCTGTTTGTCACTTCCAGTCCGTAGTTCCCGCCAAAAATTCCAGTCTCCAGCAAGCAGTTTGGCGCCAGCAGCTCTCCTGCCTCCGACCTCCGTGCCCGCCAACCGGCTTCTATCTGACATCACTACCCATTACCTGGCTTCCGGTCACGAGACCGGCACATCCATGAAAGCATAATATGGGAACGTTCAGGCCTAAAAACGTGGAGAAAGGCTCCCTTCATTATATTTACCCGTTTGTGCACATTCACCGTTCGTGTACTTCTGCGTTTGTGCGGCTAACAGCTGACCGCAGAGTACACACACCTAACAGTAACAGCCGACCGCAATATAAATGGCTTTTGTTTAGTCTTTCGTATGCTCCATTAACCAACTGCAGGTATTTCTTTTCTGCTTACAGTCCTGGAGGGGACTCCAGTCCTTATTGGGGTCCCTCAACTTCGCAATGCGTATCATTCCACAGGGTAGGTCTTTTGTCTCTAGGCCACTTAATTTTCTCCACGGGGTTCCCGACTCCTGCCCAATCATTCTGGACGATGCAGCCAGGGCAGATTTACACATGTGAAGTAGATTTTTGGCCGACTGGAATGGGATCTCTTTGTTCATTCCCCCACTTTCAGAGTACTCACCTTCAATTCACACAGACGCAGCAGCACACAGGGTTCGCAGCCATTTTCGGCAACCACTGGTTTAGGGATGACTGGCCCACTGAGACGGATGCCTTGCTGGCCTTTAGAGAGACTTCTACATTGTTTGAGTTCTACCCCACTGTGGCGGCCGCCCATACATGGGGTCATCTCTGGACCAGCAAGGCAGTTAAATCCTACTCTGACAACTCCGCAACTTTCGATATCATTAACAAAGGTCGGTCATCCTCGCTAACCATTATGAGGCTGATTCGCAGGCTGACGGCTGACTTGGCTGGCAGCAACCTCTCAGTTCTATCTAGTCTGCATTCACATTCCTGGTGTTCACAACACAGCCGCTGACGCTCTTTCACGCTCTCAATTTAAGGTCTTCTTTCAGGCACTCCCTACGGCCCTCCACCTACTATCCAGGATACCACCATTCCATGAGCTAATCCTGGACTAAGCACAGAATTACACCACGCACAGGCACTCACGCTCCACGCAGTTCACCCAACTACACTATCACTCACGCTAGGGCACTGAATTTTGTAACAAGCTCACAAGCAGAGTTTTACTTGAAAGGAACATTTACAGTAAAAATATGGTGATTTTTGCCTCCTCCTTTCACCTACACCTTAAAGTTACTCTATACCAGAAATCTCTACCTTTACCAGCATACGTCCTCACAACCACGTCCTCACAACCTGCCCTAATCATGAACCATTCTTAAACCTCCTACTCTGACACTCCACTATTACGTCTCCAAGGGCACCCACTCATTATCAGCCAAATTCATTATTTCACGATAGAACCGTACCATCTAGGTTGAGCTACAACCTGGCTTCCTTCTCTGGTCACTCATTTCGTATAGGCGCTGCATCAACTTCAAGCTCTTACACCCCAGTCCACATCATTTAGTGACCAGGACACAGGAAATCCTCAATTTATTTACGTATGTACCTCAACCAGAGAGGAAGCTCCATCGAGCCTTTAGTACCCTCGCTGTATAACTTGCAATAAAGTGTGTTTACTTTGAATCCTCTTTTGCCCTCTTTTTATTACAGGCCTACTCGTACGTTGGTTTCAGGACACCTCAACCAACTTTGCTTCTCCATCTACATTCCATTATGTATTAGAAATTCGGAGCAGAAATAAATATATATATAATATAACATATTTTTTGCGTATATAAACTAATCTCAGTGGAATATGTTATACTCATTAATAAAAATAGCATTATATAGCTTGTCTTTCTAAATATCTAAAATTGGAACATTTGCTGGTAATGCTTCCATATGTATTTTCATAATCTCTATTTGCAAACAGAACTTGCTTGAATACTGGTACATTTTATACTGTTTTTTACATTTTGAAGTTTTAAACTTTTTTGACAAGAACAGAGTTCTTTGGTGAACTGAATACATTATGTCTCAATCATCAGATTACATTTTTCCATGTTCACCATATTTATCTTTACCCTCCAGAGTTTGCACCTTCCTGTGGATTCACTGACATTGTGTCTGTCTTTGCCAATAAAGCTGGTTTGTCTGTTTGTTTTTCTCTCATTGTCATACACGCTCCCTTCATACTATACATAATTCTGTAACCACTATTTCTTCTTTTTACAGGGTAAGAGTGGTCCATTAGGTCCCGGTGGCATTGTGGGGCCAACAGGTAAACTGGTGAGTATTGCTGCTTCCTCTGTGTGCCCAAAACAGACCACATTCTACTTCTGATGCAGCAACACCTCTTACAGGGACCTGGAGCCAATGAGAGCTTCCCACACATTCTGCCAGAATGAAGATCTAGGATTTGGTATTAGGGCCCCCACCTCTCACCCATGAGTGGAGGCCAGGTGAGGGGATAATAGGTCAACCCACCTTTAGTAATTATTTTATAACCCTCACCTGTTACCCATGGTTGGGGTCCAGGGTGGACTAGGTCCTCCCCCATGAATGTTTAAAGTAGTCCGCACCTGATGTCTACGTATTCCACTCCGTTATTTCACAGGCCCCAACCCCATGGGATGATACTTTTCTAGCAACATGATGTACGATGGTCCACAGGTTCAACAAGAAGGAAGCATATTGAAGTTTTAATGAACATGGAACACATAAAAATATGTTTTTGGCCCAATGGCCTTGATCATGTATAAAGGATGCTGTGTACCTAAAATATCTAAAATAAACAAAGCTTAGCGCAAAACACTGTATATTCATGTGTAAATGTGCCGTGTAAAAATTGTACTTACAAACTTTACATGATTTCAAGCGCCTCAAGAGATCTTCCCCTTAGAGTTATGGCAAACCGAAACCCATGGCTTCCTCTCCGCTTTCCGAACAGGAATCAGGATCCAGGTGGGTAGGTATAAACTTATTTATATTTGTTTAACAGACAGAAATAATAATAACAAATAGTCTCTGGCCCTACGTGTTTTTATTCAATTAGGAACTTCCCCCAGGACCAAAATGATAAAATCACAATAAAACAATCTGCAAAAGAAAAAAATCTGCCTGCCCATCCCTTTATTTCTCTCCCTTAAATAGGACTAATCCCAATGCCTACAGGTGTTCCAGGGTGCGTTTCCCCCTAATTCACCAACCTCTCTCAGACTCCAAAGGTGTTGAAAGACAATCTCTATCTTCTGTGCGATTCCCTCCTTCTCTCACCAGCTGTTTGAGATCTTTCCCCCGAAAACTTGCTTTTGTGTGCTACACCTACGAGTCTCCAGCGTTCCATCATTTTACATGGTGGTTACTTCCGGTTTGCGTCTCACCGCGCACTTCTGTGCATTCCACTGGTGGATCGCATCTTTAAAGTTCCAGGAGTTCGGAATCTAAGTTCTCCAAAATATCAATAAGGTGCTTGTACTTCTCTTAATCTAGTAAAAGAGAAATCTGTCAATTTCATTATAATCAACTTGTATTACTCAAGTGCTTTTAATTCCAAGACATCTGGTACAATGTATTAATCACTCCCTATTTATAAAGTGTAACAACAAATGAATCATTTTACATTACCAAATATATATATATATATATATTTATTAGAATTCTATTTGAGGTCACCAACAGGGGCGTGATTTTGGAAGGCTGTTAACAAAAGTTAAATGTTTAAACCTTTTTTGGCACTAATTGGTGGCACTAATAACAGTTTAAATACCTGTCATTTTGGAGCCAAAATTGAGAGCTCCTCCCAAGGAGGTGTTCAGTTACCACAGTAACCACAGAACAAAAACAGACTACAATTTTGAAGTCAAAACACTTTTTTTTGGTGTGTTTACTATGGTAACTGAACACACCTCCTTGGGAGGAGCTCTCAATTTTGGCTCCAAAACGACCGGTATTTAAACTGTTCTGTTGTACTTGCATCCCTTATACATGATTATGGCCATTGGGCCAAAACCTATTTTTATGTGTTCTACGTTCATTAAAACTTCAATATGCATCCTGTCTGAATCCCATACCTATCCCCCGGAGTGCCACACCACATTTATTCTGTACGATGATCATCTTATGCTTCAATGTTATATCCATTGTTATCATACTAATCTGCTGTCTTCACGTATGATTTGTTAAATTTGGATGGATAATTTAGGCTACATAATATTGCTTTCAAATCTGCATTATTTGCACATGAAGTTTGATGTACGTGCCCGGTGTACATTGGACTGTATGCCTGGTACATATATGTGTGATGGCTCCATGGACCTCGTTTGTTACCCTAGTATTTGAGGTTAATTGCAGAAAGCAAATCGTTCATTTGAATGATGCATGCATTTTATTTATTTTAACTTGTGTTTGGCCTTATGCTTATTTTTATTGATAGTAAAATGCTTTGAGATCTGCTTTAGTATTTAATAATTGCCATGGACATGGCATGTGTCTATTCCTCTGGAATAAATGGACAGTTAGATTTTCTCTCTTTATACATGGCTGACAATGGTTTTACATTTTGTATGATAGCGGCAGCCAGTAAAATTTAGCGTGTTGCAAAGTAACCTTAGCATCACCTGTCATTCACTATGGTAGCAAAAAACACTCAGCTTGTAGGACTGTCCAGTATGGAAACAGCTGGATGTAGCGAACATCTGTGAATTCAATTCTAATGAAGAGTATTCTCTGTAAAACTTAACGAGAGCACTGGAAATGAGCCCTGTGGAAATGTTCTGGTCAAGCACAACACACAGTAACTTTCGTGCCTTTCAAATGATGTTATAATATCTCAGAAAAAACATTATTTTTATCTCACTTAATGATTATAGATAAAGAGACATTTATTGATCTCACTGAATGCCATTTGTTTCTTTTTTTCCTCAGGGAAATAAAGGTGAAAAAGGTTCAAAAGGAACAATGGTAAAATTCCAACACCTTCAATTCATTCATAATCTAATAACTGTGACTCCAAATTAAATGCACTGGAGGTTCCAAATGTAGAAGTTTACTGATTTTATTACAGTGGAGATTGATAAAACCTGGACGAATGAAATACAAGAGAATTTACAATCTGCTGTTACAAAACATACATACCCTGACAGCCTGCATACTGTATAGCCGCTATAGGGGACAGTGTATCTGTCAGACATAGTATAGTGTCACCCTTACTGCCTGCATACTGTATAGCTGCTATAGGGGACAGTGTACCTGTTAGACATAGTATAGTGTCACCCTGACTGCCTGCATACTGTATAGCCGCTATAGGGGACAGTGTACCTGTTAGACATAGTATAGTGTCACCCTGACTGCCTGCATACTGTATAGCCGCTATAGGGGACAGTGTACCTGTCAGACATAGTATAGTGTCACCCTGACTGTCTGCATACTGTATAGCCGCTATAGGGGACAGTGTACCTGTTAGACATAGTATAGTGTCACCCTGACTGCCTGCATACTGTATAGCCGCTATAGGGGACAGTGTACCTGTTAGACATAGTATAGTGTCACCCTGACTGCCTGCATACTGTATAGCCGCTATAGGGGACAGTGTATCTGTCAGACATAGTATAGTGTCACCCTGACTGCCTGCATACTGTATAGCCGCTATAGGGGACAGTGTACCTGTCAGACATAGTATAGTGTCACCCTGACTGCCCTATAGGGGACAGTGTACCTGTCAGACATGGTATAGTGTCACCCTGACTGCCTGCATACTGTATAGCCGCTATAGGGGACAGTGTACCTGTTAGACATAGTATAGTGTCACCCTGACTGCCTGCATACTGTATAGCCGCTATAGGGGACAGTGTACCTGTTAGACATAGTATAGTGT